CCCCCCCCCCCCCCATCCTCCCCATGCGCGTCGGTAATTCTCTGCTCAAACTCATGTTGCGTTGCTTTAAAAAAGGAGTCAACGAAGAAAACTCGATTCCAGAAGTGACAACGGCACTATGATTTAAGGAATGAAAACTCCATGTTATATATGTCTGGCTGTGGCTGAGTTGTCAGGTGAAAAAAGACAGTGAAAGCCTAACACCATAATCTAAGCCAGGGGCAGATTGTGAGGTATTCGCATGGCAGGGCTGCTGCGGTGGACCTATTCAGCCCAACACAGAAAGACAAAAGCAAAATTGCATATTTAAGAGTTCATAGTGGAAAGATGTCTAACGTGAAAAGGAGATGAAGTTTCCTTGATTTAAAAAACACATGCTAACTAACGAATATCGCCTGGGCAGCTCCTTGCTAATTCCTGCTACTGTATGGTAAGATTATGTAAAAAGCACCAGCACCTTAGAAAAAAGCCTTCTCTCACAAGTTCCCGAAACTTAGCAATTAAAGATGCGGATCCTTTTTCATCTTTGCAAGCCCAAGTTAAGTGCTGACAAAAAGCGAATCTTCACATTGGAGGGCAGACATCGTAACGAGGCTAGATGTAGGCGTTAAGCGAGTCATTTTTGATGGCGAACTCCAAAAGTGCATACTGCGTTATTGGTCCCTGACAGCTATTACCTGTACAGAACCGCGAGGATTTTGCAATATCAAAGATACATTGATTATCCTGAATCGCTTGCAAAACTATTCTTGTTGTATGAGGCTACTTTTAGGATAACGTTATTCTACCCTAGCTTGTAAACTCGGCTATTTGTTTTGGCAAACAGCTTGCCATCGACCGCCGATTACTAAAGGGCAGCAGAATTGCCCAGCGCATAAAATGAGTAGAGTAGAGTAGAGTAGTAGCACCTACTCTACCTACTCGCCAATAACTCGAGTACTACTTGAGTAATACTTGTGTAGTGCGGAGTGGGTCGGTCCGAGCTAGGCCGGCCGGTCCGACAACTCAGGCTTGGCCGCCCCCCCTGTATAAGATATAGGCGATAGTATAACCAAGCGCTTCTATTAGAGGAGAAATAACATGCCTTAAGAGTTAGGATGTTTTATATAGAGCAAGAAGAGGAACAGGAAGCAAGAGAGACAAGAGGGGTAATATTCAAGGATAGTTGTTTCGTACAGTACTTTAGTTATATTAGTCACGTTACTACTACTCGAGTAGTCAAATTCAGGACTCATCACTACTCAAATAGTGGGTTCCGCCACTCTACTCTACTCTGCTCTGCTCGAGTAGTTGAGTAGTTGAATAGTTCTTTGGTACGCTGGAATTGGCATAGTCAACCATGTAGGAAAAATAAACAGAAATGTTCTCCACATAAGACCAGTTACTTATGAACCTACTATAGCACAATGGAGCAACGCAAGCTAGCGAATAAGCCTCACAAGAAGCTGCTCCTAATCAAGTTACGTTGATACAATATGCATTTCGTTTCAGCACTATTACGACCAAGTCATAGACCAACCTCACCCAGCCAAGAACCTACCTGCTCCCACATCATTCTTTGCCATCGTGTCTTTCCCATCCTTCGCCATACTACCCTCACGTCTCGTTTTCGCGCCTTCCTTCAACTTCTCCCAGCGGTCTCGATATTTCGACACGACCGCCTTCAACTTTTCATTGTCCCTAGACAGCCGCTCGGCTTCTTTGGCGCCCAACATAACACGCTCCTCCAACTCTATGACCTTCCGTCTGAGGGCTTCGTCGTCTTGATTGGCGAGCTGGTCTCTTGCTGGACTGGAGGAGCGCATCATTCTGATGCTTTGCTGTAATGCCATACTACTTTGCTGGGCCCCCATCTCAAAGGCACTAAGTCGCTTGCTGAGTCTATCCACAACTTCTTTGAGACTCTGGTTCTCCAAGTTCAACTCCTCGACCCTATTTTCGAGTTGTTTACTACTGGCAGCTCTCTTAAACGCCGGCTTTTTGGCAAGGAAAGCCGTGGAATTCGGCATTGGCGTTTCTCTTGCGTCCTCAAAATCATCATCCTCTTCGAATGGATCTGCAAAGGCTTCGGGGTTCTCGCTGTGCAGAGAAGCTCTCATCCGGCGCTTTTCCTTCTGATCAAAAGATAATATTTGTGCATAGGACATTGTATGTCCCGCAGTGGGAACCACATAAAAAGAGTCATTCGCAGAATTTCCGTCACGTGTGGTAGCTCTAAGAGCCGCTTGGGAAATGTATTTAGATAGATCCGGCTCCTGTCTCAAATTGTCTGTGCTGTTTGATGGTCTCTTTTTGGAAACAGGTGCTAGCTCCCGCTCAGCGGGCTCTTTCACCTCCTCTGAGGTCAAAGGTAATGCTGCGAATACAAGAGGGGCAGAGAGCTTGTTAAGAAAGCTTCCAACGGTACTATAAAACCGCGAGAAATTCTCATCGGCAGGATTTTTGCTGGCCCCGGCATTTTCAGCTACAGCAGTTGCTCTTGACGTCGAAGTCTGTGAACCCGCCTTTTTGGTGTTATTATGGGTGGGTGGTACCCAACTAGGTTGAGCGGTTGTATGTTCAGGAATGCTGCCTGGTATTTTTGTCCGCTTCCCATCTCGCCGAGAGTGTGTTTCCAGACTCCCAGGCACTTGGTTGCCCGACACGGTGGGCATTCTGGTATTTCGGATGCCTCTAGCGCTGGCTAGGTTGCTGGCAATTGAAGAGCTCAAATCGCGGGGTGGAAGACGCCTAGGGTGCTGTAGGCTCGGTGGATTTCTAGCTGGAGAGGAGGAGCGATTACCAATATCGGATTTCGAGCTTCGTAGCTCAGCAACTGCGGCAGAGGTAGATAAAGGCTTCTCTGCCAGAAGTTGAACTTCGGGTTCTGTAGATGTGGCCGTAGGGGGGTTCTCGGAGGGGTAACGAAGGAGTTCTGATAATCGCCGATGGTGGTGTTCTAGGAGCCGTAAAGTTCTCATGGCTTCTGCGCTTCCAATCCCCGAAGCAGCTTTCGCAAACTCCCCTGCTGCCAAAGCATGTTGGTTGATTGCGACCGTCGTGTCTGAACTGGATGTTGCGACAGAAGCGGCTCGGGCATGATCATGCGCCTACACAGAATTAGCCTCCCAGGGATTATATTATGAGTTAGTATGTAGTTTACCAAGGTCAGAGGAGAGGACTCCATGACCGCGGGTGTTGTAGAAAAGTTCGGAGTGGTGTTGCATGGAGGGAAAAGGAGTAAAGATGTTGTAGGGGGCAGCGGACTGGAATCATTGAGACACCCGGGGGGCCATTCACGGATTACGTAACGTCATGTGACTATTCCGGTGGGTGGGCTCCACTATTTTACATCCATACCTAGCTATATTCACTAAGCGAGTTCCAATAAAAGTGATCTGCTTGGTTTAAGATTCAAACGTTCAGTGTTCTGCAATGGCAGCTACCAAAAAGCACCTACCATTCTCCGAATACCATTATTAGAGCAAGACTGAATTCAAACAGACATATTCTCGCTTACAGTATGTCAGCTCTTTGAGACACAAGCTAAGTTTTATGTATTTCACCATTTTAAAGGCGCTCAGTTTTATACGTGGAAACTTACATGGAACCTCCCCATTTTCTTCAAATGAACCTTCAATATTAAACATGGCAGAATATGTGTGCTATAGTGACCCTGAGATCGACTATTTGCTTAACAGCGTTGGGATCTGATTAATTAGTACGAATTATATTTACCACAGTACTAGTTGATTAAACATAACCTACAGAAGCTTGGTACATTCATTAATAATAAGAGCTAATCTTTTATCAAGATACACCCGGACTACAAGGTAAATACATAACGCTACGCGAATCCCCTGTACCCCAAAATTAAAGCCATCTCCAGATATTATCATGTTGCCTTTGAACTACGGGCAGGCTCAAATCTAGTGGCAGCAAGCACCCCTTATCGATTTCTTTCTTTTCATAGATGGAAAGAAACAAATAATAACATTAAGAATGTTAAAAACGGCAGGGAACATAGCTGTCCATATAACTTTGTATGTTGTGGTGGTGTTTACTTGCCACATTCCATTCCTCATTTCACACCCCTAATGCTTTATTCTAGAAGTTTAGAGTGATAACGTCACTATAACCGAATTGATAAAAGTCCCGTTCAAGTGGTTTCAATTGCTCTACGCTTCTAGAATAATCTGGCATATTAATCTAAATCTTTTCGGCTAACCACTTGCATTTCTCAAGCAGCGTTCGGCATCTGTAACACGATTCCATGGAATTATGGAATTCCATTCTAAAAGGAACCTTCCAGAGGCCCTTTAAAATGGAATGGAATATTCCAGAGGAGAGGCCTCTGGATTATGGAATTCTAGGGGATATATATATACTTCTAGATATACTACTTTTTAACTAATGAGAATTTTTGATTTGAGGGGCCAGGTGGGGGGGCTGACTAGGCTTCAGCTTATGACTAAGCAATAGTAATAATATAGTATGGTTAAGTGAATAAAAAGTAGGGTAAATCACGTTTTAGTATTAAATATCCTAGATAGAGGTAGGTAAGCCGAATAATATCCCTATTACACATAGTCTATATATAGTAAGTCTAAGTATAAGCTGCCTAGTAGTTAGACGGAGCGTACCTAGGTAACGACTATCTTATAAGTCACATGATTAGTTCCATTATGGAATATGGCATATTCCAGAGGTTATAACAAATAGAATGGAATATTCCATATAGGGGGTCTGGAATGGAAAGGAATTCCAAATGCCGAACGCTGTTCTGAAGATCTTAGGACAATTATATTGATTGTTCTAAATAGCTTGTAACTTTACGGAATACCCTAAAGTGGTATAACAACAACAATAATCTACTGCCACTTATATTTTCCACAGCTGCGTCAGTACGATAACTAACTTTCTTTTTATTTTCTCTTTCACCCCGTCGCAGCCAAATTTTATTTCTTTACCACGTCAAACACTTCAAATCTTTAACGTCCTTCTCCTCCATGGAATCAAATAATAAACAGTCTTTGTTTCTCTGAGCTTTTCAGCCAGGTACCATATGTTTATATTCTTTTCGCTCGCTTAAGCTTCTTCAGGCTTCAGTGACGTTAGCCAGACTATTTACATAATACATACAACTCATCACCAAAAATATATACGGAAGAAGAGGAAGATAGAACCTAACCCTTTGGCCCCCCTAAATCGATCCAAAAACCGAAAAACTACTCCTAGCATTCCCATTATTCTCCACCATCAAGTTGTCCGCACAACTACTTCCAAGTCCCCCATTCCCGACCCATCCCGGCTCCCAATAAAAGATGCCCGCCCCCAAAGAAGAAGGCACCGCCGCCACAGCCGCAGCAACAGTCTTCATCCAACTCGTCTGTCCATCTACGCTCTTAGCAATAGACGAGGTATCGCTCGGGAACGGATACAAAGGATTCGAGCAAGAAACCGGCCAATTCGTCTCGGCAATAACCACCTGTTTCTTGAACGTGTTGGCGATGTTCACCATGCTCGATTTGATGTTTGCGAGCTGCGCGTTGGCGTTGTAGAAGGGGTAGTAGGAGAGCCCGATCATGTCGAAATCAGTGTTGAGGAAGACGCCTTGGTTGAGGATCAGGGTGTAGAACCATTTCTGCGTCTCCCAGTTCCAGCCGTTGTCAGTATGCACCATGATCTTGGGCTTGGGGGATAGGTTCGAGTCTTTTACGCCCGAGGAGGCGGAGTGGAGGAGGCGCGCGAAGTTGTAGGCGTTGGCGCTTTTGCCCAGGGGGAAGAGCATGCCGTCTGTGATCTCGTTGCCGATGGATATTATGGAGAGGGGAATGCCGTTTGATTGGAAGGAGTTGCAGCTTGCGAGGGTGTAGTTGTAGACTTCCCATGCGAGGTCATTTATGTTTGATGGCCAACCTTTGGGTGTGGTCTATGAAAGTTAGCAGTTTACCTTCGACTATCTTTCAAATATCCTCAGAGCAAAAACTTACCTGGTGAGCAGGATCCGCCCAAGTGTCGCTGTAATGCAAATCAAGGTAGACATTCAATCCAGCAGCCACAGCCCGCTTCCCAAGCTTGATATTGTAATCCAAGTTGTAGACCCCATCGGAAGGATTGACCCATAATCGTTGCCGGACAGTATTCACACCACTTGACTTGAGAATCTTCTCGAAAGGCTGCGTCGCACCAGAGCTAGTCTTGAAAGTCTTTCCAGAATTCTCCAGCATCAAAGTTGAGGACCAATCCACACCTTTGTACGTCAAAGCATGGACAGCAGCAACAGGTCCCAGAAGGAGAACTGCAAAACTTCGCAACAACATCATGGTTAAAGAACGTGGCAACAAGCCCAAAACCCAAAACTTGACAGTAGAAAAGCGAACGTACAAATGGTTGGCAAGCTAGATGCAACAAAAGAGAGGGGAAAAACACGGTACAAATAGGCTGGTGCTGGTCAACAACCTGGCAGTCCACCAAGGGATTTCTCCTCTCATCTCAATCCTGCCCCTCTTCGATCCATCATCCCCAAATGCCCAGAAGGAAAAAGGCCGGACTGAATTAATCCGTAGATCACACCGTTCTTGTGTGGAGAGATGGACTCGGACTGCGAATAAGCGGCCCCTGCAAGATCTTCCCTTGTGGGGTCTTCGGGAATTTAAGCCAGATCAACCCAACTGGAGCGCCACTGGGAGCACCTTGTATTGCGGGGTGCATAACTCTATTCCAAACTTCCTAAAGCTGTCTTATTTCAAGGCAGGCGCCGGCGCCTTTCTCAATATTGCCCCAATCAAGAGGACACTAGATCCAAACAGGCTCTCGGGAATTGCGATTCGAGTGTATTAATATAAATGATAAGCGGGTTGGTTCTGGAATAATTAGTGCCATTTCCTTTAATCTTCTTTCAATGCCGCCGCAGAAATAACATTATACCGTACACACAAACAGTATGTACGAAGCAAAACAATGCCTAACTTACTTCTAACCAACGAATATCCTTGAAACCACAGCCCAACTCCGTGATCTAGACCCATTAGTGTTCGTCGTATTTTTCGTAACCAGTACCGACGGCACTTGTTCAACTACACAACCCTGACCTAGAGAACAAAACCATCATCCCATCAACCTTCGAAGGCAAAAGCTTCTAGATTTTAGTGCATCTACTTCCTGGCTCGTTTACTTCTATCTGAAGTCGAGCTTCCTAGAGTGATTTTGCCGGGTGTTTTTCATAATATAAACAGCATTTGTTGGTGTGCATATACGAAGTAACTAAGTTTACAACTTTTGTTATTGTTTTACAACCTCGATTTACCTCGTATAAACAATTCATTACAAAATAAGCTATAGGATTTGTATCACATCTTAATATGACGACAATCCAAACACAAATCGAATGTACTTCGCAAGGTGCCTATTCAAATTTAAATCCAAATACGGGGTATCTAAATGGGTGGCACGGATACTAGGAACCCTTAAATCGATTATAATACGAGTATATAGGTTTTTACAGAATTGATTTTTTTATATTTAACAACACTCGGTCCCCTTTTGTCTCCACAAGTGACTTCTACAATAGTGTTTCTAGCACGGATTTCGTCCACTTCGTTTTTTTACTTCGTGGAAGGTACTCTCGGGCATTTCTAATCATAAAAATCCGTGGAAAAATCACTCACTCTACTATACGGAGTAAAAGTACATAAAGAAAAGGAGGCAGGCAGGGTTAAGCTACTCAACCATCAGCGACCTTCCCAATTAGTCGGCAACAACACTTTGACAGAGCGTACTGTATCGCATGGACGAGCCATCTGGTCTACGACGTATTTAATACGGATCCGACGTATTCAGCTCCACCATATAAAACCATACGAAAGAGCGACAAGAACACCAAGAGAACACTCACATGACAAACCTTCGACTCTCAACCACAATCAATCAACACAGATAAAGGCCCGAAAGTGAAGACATGAAATAAGATTCTCACTAAATCTCCGCTAGTCACAAACTCAAGTCCCGTTTTGCTAACCCCCAGGAAGAAAAATTTAAAAAGTTCGTATACTCACAGGAACAAAGCAACGACGCAATCGCGAGATACAGATTATGACCAAGTCTTCCGGGAAAAAACCTACCTACTGTACTGACATCATTTTGCCAAGAGCATGTCTATGTAATGTAAACCCGTGCCATGAAATACATTGAAAATAGCAAGCTTCATGTATATAACGACTGTGAGGACCCTGCCTCACGATGCAAGTACTCCGTATCCCGGACTCAAAACAAACACAAAGAAGCAAGTGTACTGTACAAAGCAACAAGAAGGGAGCGGTCAAATTTTACAGAGCGAGGGGGGGTTCAATCTAGGCCCTCATAACCGGCATAGGGATTCCATTCTTGGCCCGGGTAACTTGTCGCACTCATCGTAACCGTGGGCTCAGCATCCATCTCATGATACCTGGTCTCACTTCCCGTTCGTGAATGCGAATGACTGTTATAATGGATTTTCTCTTCTGGGAAAGAAGTCTGTTTGTTTTGTAGATGGTCATTTGGAGCCAGATGGGTGTTTGATATCGGGGCATTTTGTGGATGGATTTGAGTGTTGTCAAAGCTAGTTTGTATGGGTGACGGTTTTGGAGTTGTCCTAGACAGCAACGTAAGTCCTTGGTTAGGGAGAGGTGGACTAGCGTCGTAAAGGTCATCCGGAATCGGATTGTGATTCAGCGTTGTAGTTGGAATATTATCACCAGTGCCATGCTCTCTCAAAATACCTCGTTCGCCCGATCGACCTCTGCTGTTATCAGGGGCTGCTGAAACAGAACTCACGAACCCTTCTGGTGACATAACAGGGCTGTCACGACTAGATGGCCCGCGACTTGACTCTGCGGAGACATTCCCACCCAAATCTTTCTCGTCTGCAGCTGAAATACTCGAACGGCCTCTAGGGGGTTCATCGTTCCCAGACATATGCGATACCTGTGATACAGCACTTACAGCGGTACGACGAGTATTGGAACGTTCAAGATCAACACTTAAATTGGCATTATGGTGTGAAGAGAGTGGTGAGTTTGGTGGCTGGTACCGAGGGTTAAGGTAAGAAGATTGAGATTCCCATCCAGTTGGTGGTGGTGGAGGTGGAAAATCCCTGGCTTGAGGATTCACAGGAGACAATGCTGAATCTGGGATAGGGTATTCAGCTGGTGATGCTGGGTGTTGAAGCACAGGCTGTCCATGCTGGAGTCGTTGAATTGAGTTACGTGATGGCTTTGTATTGTGTGAATCATAAATATGATCTTTCTCAATTGGAGCTGGTCGATGTTCTGTATCGGAACTTCCAGGGAGGGAAATCTGGTATGGCCTTTGTTGATCTTCAGGCGTTTTGGCAGGCGAGCATGCTAGCTCCTCTTCAGAACTGAGGTAGCGTGGAGAATGAGTTTGAGACGTCTCCAGTGGTGCTAGCGAACGAAGAGGTTGTGATTGATCATTCACCTTCAATTTGTGCTCTTGCTGAGATGGCACTTGCTCAAACCGCGGTTCTTGTTGATGATATTGTGAGCCGAGATTGACTTCTGACGTTCTACGCTGCCTCAAAGACCTATTTGATTGAGACGATCTGGCGTCATATATCGCATTTCCATGCTGCTTGTCCTGAGAGTGCTGGGGGTACTCGTTGTAGTCATCTTTGCTATTGTCCGGGGAGGAATACGATTGCTGAGGGGGAAATTGTTGTGGTGGGCTCGATGATTGTGATCGAAATCCAGTATCAGACCGCAGAGAACTCCTTAATCCTTTTGGATCATAAGATGTTGGAACAACCATAGCACCCTGTGGTCTTACAAGAGAGTAACCCCCAGGAATGGGAACACTGTCATACTGCGGCTCTCTTATAACATGACGATCTCGACCTCTTGCTTGGTATGACTGCTCGGTTGTATGGGGTCGAGATTGATGATACTGCCGAATTTGCTCCAAAGGTTGTTGCTCTTCCATGTCCGTGTATGTTTGTGCAAGCGGTAGTGCAGCAGTCCGAGGCTGGCTACCCTGCGAACGGGATTCCTCTCCATCTCTTTCATATGGCTGGGCCTTTCTTCCAATAATCCCGTTAAGCAAGCCGGACGTAGACGGCCGACGACCCCTACTCTTGTTTTCTTTTTGGGACCCGTCCGAGATTTGCGACTCTTGCATTCCACTAGATGAGTTGGAAGTTAGCTTCGAAAGCAGCCCGCCTGATCGACTTGGTCCTCTTCTGCCTCTAACTGGTGTTTCTTGATTGGGTGGCGATCCTTGCTTGCGTGCTGTCCAATTCTGCAGACCATCATTCGAGATGAAGCGAGATGATTGAGATGGCTGGTCGACCGGTCTTTCATTGTAACCAAACTGCCTAGATCCCGGTGATCGTGTGGGTGGTGGCATAGAGCTTCTTGGTGCTGAATTCTCAGCTTTACCAAAGAATCCAGTGAGCCCAGAAAAACGCCTCTTCTTTCCAGGCCCATCAAGCATTCCGGATGTAGATGATCTGGATAATTTGGAGGTTTTAAGCTTTGTTTGGCTAGTGGAAGAGCTACCGAAGAACGACCGCTTCTTCTGATCCTGTATAGGAGATTCTTGTCCCGAGGAGAGCAAATCAGTGCGCAAACCTGAATGATGAGCTGAGACGCTCTCCCGGCTTTGTAAATTGCCCAATGCAACGGTCGAAGCACGTTCGAGATTCCCAAACAAATTCGCCCTTCTGCTACTCTGCCCTTTACCCTCTTCTAATATCATACTTGACTCGACATTGCCATTGCCATTACTTTCAATTGGACGTTGAGGGGACGAAACGCTACCACCTCTGGAATTTGAACCATTCCGTTCTCTGGATGTACCTCGAGAAAGTCTCCCGCTTAATTCTCTGAAGAATCTTCCCGAGTTACGGCTGGATCCAGTTTGGGGAAGATCAGTTGGTGGTCCAACTCCAGGAATCTCATACTCGCTAATCTGCTGTCTAGGAAGGAATGCCTCCTCGCGGGCAATTGGTTGCTGGTAATAATGAGCTGGTAAATCATGTTCCCGATCAGGCATTTCAGATCCTGTGTCCGAACGGAATAGACCGGGGTATCTTTGAGCAGACGATGGGGGCTGTTCAAAAGGCCTGTTTTGGAGATTCGATCCAGCCCATGGGGCGTTTCTTTGGGCTTGAGTCATATCAACAGAGTTCCCGTTTGCTCTCCGGGAGTCCTGAGAATGCCTGGAATTATTCGTAGGCCTAGGTTGGACGTCGTACGGCCGATGGGCGGCGAACTGTTGACTATTGGGCTGCTGTGGAGCTTTATGTTGACTGTAGTCGGAAGAGCCAACTCGAACAACCCGCGGTTTTGTTGGAGACGAGTGAGCAACATACGCCTGTTGCATAATGCTAGCATCTTGTTGCTGCAGTGGGGTATCAATGCCATATTCACGGGGAGTAACAGAACCAGGAGAAGTTGCATATTCGATTCCAGTCTGCTGTTGCGGTTGCTCATTGCCAGTGATGTGCTCATCATCATCGTCGATTGGAAATCTACGCTGCTTCTGACGAGACCCAAATCCAATTCCAAAAGTAGAAGTGCGACGGATAGGCGGCAGAAACGATGAATTACTTTGTTCCTGCTGGCGTTCTCGTGGAGTTTTCAAAACAGCCGGTTGAGAAGAGGCATAGCCGACATTTGAAGACAAAGTGTAATGAACTGGGCTTCTGGACGAAGAGGCTAAAGGATCTTCAATAGTATTACCACGAGGCCTATTAAGAATGCTCATGCTAGTTATGTTAACACTTGGGGCGTTGGGCTGGCCAGATAATGGTGTATCATTGAGGTCAGATTCTGGAGAAACAGCGTCCTGATGAGATCCCATCAGCGCTATTGATCTTACGGAATCACTATTTCCGAGCTCTGGAGATACAGTTGCTGTTGTATCCTCTGGAATTAATTCCGATGCTGCGGTATTTGATGGTAAGGCGGTGACCTCTGGATCTAAAGACCCAGTAAAAGGGTGGTTGGGGTTCGGTTCACCCAACGAATCTAGATTATCATGGTCCGGTTGTAAAGATACCATCGACCTCTCCTCAACGTTTTCTGCTCTTGCCGTGGATTGCCTCGACAAATCATCGACGTGCGATTCATTGGATTCTTGTAATGGTGCAAAGTAACTAGTATCGTGTGCAGGAGATACCACTACCCATTCATTTAAATCAGGTGAACCCTCAGGAACAGAATAAAAGCGAGTGTCCCCACTGGATCTAGGGCTTGTTGCAAGGTCGCTTTCCCTAGGGGACAACTGCCCTAAAGGATTATCATGGTGCTCAGATACAGATGGTTGAATAATTTGAGAATTCGGGATATCTTGAGACTGAAATGTTTCCTTCTCGGCAATCGGAGTGGAGGTAAAAGGATCTTCGAAAGCTTGTCCCTTGGAGACAGGGAAAGCCCCCGGGGGCTCATCAATTTCCATTTTTGGAGTGGCTTGGGATTCTTGGATAACCTCACTTGATGAAAACGATTCTTTACGAGGAACTAGGTCATTAGTGGTAGGAATATCTCGACGTGCTCTGTTGGCATGATCGATATTAGAGAAATGAGGCGAGGAAGCTCTCCTTTGCATGTTGGGTGTAATTGGGTGCTCTGCAACTGTTACTAGGATGTTTGATGCTTGGTGTGCTGATTCATGATGGCCCGGTGACCGGGATAACGTGAGAAGAGGGCCCCACGAAGACCGTCTTTCCGGTTTCTTGGACGGGATGCTTATCTATAATTGGGGAATAAAACTTAGTAACTTTTTCAAACCGACCCTTTCAGACGATGCATAATTGCAAGAAGACAACGATTGAAAGAGATGCAAATTTCCCATTAGTCGTACAAAGCTTGTTACGCAAAGGATCGCTGTGGACAAGAAAACCGGCACTCAACAAAAACAATACTCCAGCCTGTCGGGGCACATTGATGAAGAACGTAATAAACCCAAGAATCTCGAATTGGTCCCTTGGCCATAATTCCTCGATTTCATTAAGTGACGCTTTTCTTGTCCACAGCAAATCCCTCGGACCAGATCAGAAAGTTGCCTGATTAGTCCTCGAAAAATCCAAAAATCAAATAAGAAACGCCTAGCAACCCATTAGGAAGGAGATATCATTCTACCTTGTCTCCCCCACCAGAACCTCGAAATCTGCTCTTGCCCTTGGCAAGAAGCCCCTTCCCTGCTTTGCCCGCCTTTCCACCAAATATGCCAGCCGTGTGAAAAAGTTCTTTTCCTAATTCTTTTCCTTTGGCCTGAACTTGTTGAGTCGTCAATTTCGCACTTGCAGGAGAAAAGCCTTGTTGGCCGCTACTTTGAGTGCTTAGCCCTGGCCGTGAACTTGATGCCGTTGGAGTTGTTGGAGAGCTGGCATTTAGGTATTGCTGATAATATGGTTGCTGTGTCGATGGCGCCCCCGAACCCGTGACCTTTGCGAATTTGGACCTAGCCGAAGAGGTTCCAGATGCACTATATCTTGATATGTTTCCCCATCCAGCTGCATCGGCATGCTCTGGATGCTGCGCTTGAATTGCCTCGATCCACGTACTTAAACCAGAATCCATGGCCGCGTAACGTTGCCTAGTTGCATTAAAAGCTTGCGTTCTTTCCTGCTGCGATTTCAAAGCCGCGATTTCTTTGAATGCCATAAGTCTCTCATGTTGACCCCCGTGCGGTCCTATAGGCGGAAACTGTGCAGTGGTTGGCGAAACATGAAGTTCGGCTGGCGAGACTTGCGCTCCGGGTGACGTTGCCGAGTGATCGCTTTCCGGTGGGGTTGGAGTGAAGTTATTTGGAGACACTCGATGATCCTTTTCGTCAGCAAGTGACTGACGGCGGTCAGGGTGACTAGGGGGTGTGGTGATAGCGGCAGCTATGGTTCCAGCGCCACCGGTGATAAGCGCGGCATCTGTGCCTGTGTGGTGATCTTGAGCTGAAGAACTATGCGATGTACTGTCTGATATTGGTCTTTCATCAAGTATGAGGCCACTATGGTCTGAATGCCGCAATGCTGGCGCAGGCGCAACGTGATCAGCTTCATTATGTTCCGGTTCTGGTCCCGTATTGGTAGCTGAAGATCCCATGTCGGGCACAGTCTCGGTACTTTTTTCCCAGGAGAAGCGGTGTTGGAGGGTGTTCGGCTTTGACTCAAGAAGCTGTTGAGAGATTCTACGTGTTTTAAGGGGTGGTATAGTTGGTGTTTCCGAATCGATAAATCTCGACGCTTCATCCATGACTGGCGTGGGATCAGGACGTGCACTTGGCTTTAAAACGACATCATCCTTTGAACTTAGCACAGCAGCTGGAACTGGTTTCTCGTCATCAGCAGACGATTGCCAGTAATTGTCATACTCTGATGGTAAATATGCGCTGTCTCTATCCAGACCGGTTTGTGTGAGTTCATTTGGCTGCGCTGATAGCGTTGAGGTGTCAACTCCAATGGTTGACTGTCGTGGGGTAAGTGTTTTTACGATCTCTTCGCGTAGTCTGTCATTCTCGTCTTCTGGAAATTCATCATCTGCAGCAAAAGTTGGCAATGCCTGTGTTTGACCAGAGCTTTCTAAAGTCTCGCCTGGCTTTTGGTTCACCGTTACATCTTTATGTGGGAAATAACTAGAGCTACCCTCCGGCTGCAGAGGGGTATCTTTTGGAGGTGGTGTTGGTGCAGCGCTTGATTGAGCTGATAAGGCTCCATGAACAACATCAGGACGAAGTTGAGTTTCTATAGGGACCTGCTCAAGCTTCGGTAGAAGTCTTGGATCCAAAGGAGCCTTTGAATAAAGATTTCCACTTGGAGCCATTGCGGGATCCGGGGTGGGAAGCGAATTATCTCTGTCCAACGGGATTTGCGCAGTGCCTCGTGTAGAAGTTGGCGTGAGGTCATGGTAATCATCGTGGGGGATAGGATATGGTTCGTTTACAGGATCGGATTTGACAACATCACCACCGTGCACTTCTTGCTCAACGGCATCTCCCTTGCTTGAAGCAGCATAAGACGTCCAGCCGCCAGGGATTATTGGTCGAAAGCTTTGTTCTCTTTCGGCCAAAGGCCTTGATTGTTCAGTTGGGCTTGCATCAGTAATCATAACTTCATGAGCCGGGGGCGAAATAATAGTAGTCTCGACATTTGGTGTTCGTGCTGGACTATTGCCAGGACTGGGAGCACTAATATCGCGCCGATGGCCTGGCTTAAACCCCGGTACAACAGGTTGAGGCTGAGTTAAGGGGATCGTCTTTGATGCAGGAACTCTAGGTTTAGATCTGTCGGGCGATACAGGTTCATCTATGGCTTCAGGTATAGCAGGCGTGGAGAAATCACGATTTTGAGTGTTGGGTATGGCAGTACTAGGGACTCGGCTCATGATAGGACTAATTCCAGTTGTTCCAGTACTCTCACTATCGGTCCTTCGAACGCCACTGCCAGTTCGCGAAGCTGGCGTAGGTGGTACCGAAGAACCGTCAGATCTGTCAAATGCCTGGTGAACAGCAGACCTCAGACCAATCGATGGTTTGCTGTGAAGCGTAATTTCACTCGCCGGAGGGGGGGTGGCAGTTTCACTCTTTCTGGGGTTCTCATCATCGGTGCGACTAGGCGAGAACATATCCATTCCAAATGACGACATGCGATTTAAATCTGGGAGCTTGGGACTCGTCGAGTGGCTGCGTAGAACTTCTAAGCTGGGCTCGCTAAGATGTGATGATTGAGTCGGTTCATGCGCTGTCTGGCCTTGGTTTGCCGGTTCAGCATGATCATTGACATTGAAACCTTCAAACCCATACTCGCTCTTCCTCTCTTTCACTGTATCCAGCATTGGCATTAAGCGTCGGCCAGACTCGGAGCCCTCGTCATCTACGCTACTCCTAGTCCTTGAGCCCAAACTGTCTGTACGTTCTCGGCTAGCTAGCCTCGCTGGGGATTCGCCCCTTTCGTTACCCCTCGTGCCCATGATAGAATCCATACTAGGTCTCCCTGATTCCATTGACTGCCGTTCCTCTTCAGCTCGCTTGTAAATGTCCGCCGGCCGTATAAACGGCAGTTTCTTGCCCGGGGTACCAGGAGTCCTAGGGGTTTCTGCGGGCGACGAAGACCGACCAGCCGTCCATGGCCTCGGTGGCGCGGACTCCTGAGATGATTGCATTGGGTTGGTCAAGTCAGGTGGCCCTGTTGATTGACTAAGGCTGCTTTTTCTAGCAGGAAATGTTGTAGTCGATTGTGAGCGGTCTCTTACAGCCTCTGGGGACGAAGGCGCTGGTGAAGTCCGTGTAGATAGTGGCTGAGGAACAGCGGATGGAGAGAAGTCTCTCGAAGCCTGATAGTCACTGACAGGAGTTTGAGATGTAGCGGCAGAAGCTGGCTCGGACGATGGTCCTGGTATATCTGGTAAAGGGGACTCGGCTAGCGCTGGCAAGGATGATGGTCCTGATATATCTGGTAAAGGGGACTCGGCTAGCGCTGGCAATGCTTGACTTTGACTTGGTTTACGCAAGCCTGTCGTAGGAGATTGTATAGCGACGGACAGAGCAGGAGGGCCACTGGCATGACGAGTGGATGGCAAGCCGGTAATCTGGGAGAATCGGGTGGCAGGGCCTCCAGAAGAGGGTGATTGTTGCGGGATGGCAGTACTTGAGAAACTCCTCTCTTCATCGGCCCCAAAAGAGTTAGTTCGTCCTCGAGGATTACTAGCCGTCGGACCGCCCGCTAATGGACCATATGCCTTTCTACCATAATCAATTGCGGGCGAGTTTCCTTGCGACTGGCTGGGAAGTCCCTGGCCCTGCTGTCGAAGACCGGTCGGCTTCTTGATGACTTGAGGCGGAGGGAGGTCGTATTCATCGTCGCTGCCCCAATCGTCTCCGCCATAATCAACCGCCTTTGCCTGTGTCCACTTGGTCGTCTTTTGGCGATTGACGTTCGTCCGATATGAGATGGGAGCGTTGCCGCCACCTGCGGATTGAGGAGGAGACCTGTGTCGTGGGGTAAGTTTGATGAAATACAATGCGGTGCGCCAGTGGGGGGAAAAGTTAGCAATTGGAAGTCTATTTTGGGGCACCTACAGAGGCGAGTCGTTATCGAAGGTATTGGGGAAAGGTCGTGCCATGTTGACATACGTAAGCGTAGGCGGGTTGGCGCAACAGCGCTCACCAAATAATCATACACTCGCTGCCCATGTGGCTTGACACTGCGGAGGATGTGAAGAGGGAGAGAGAAAGTCCGGAGTCGCAGCAGAGATTGGATGTTGTTGTCGTTCAGAAATGGAAACCGCGCGGGCTGGTGGCACGGAAAGAGCAAGCGTGGAAGGGCTTGGCAGAGTGGCAGAGTGGCAGAGTGACAGAGTGGCCGAGCAGGTGCCAGGCTTCGGCGTAGCGTCGTGAACCTCACCTTATGCGCAATAGCCAGACGGACGTCACTAATGCCAGAAGGTGGATGATGCCTGGGGAAACCTGGCCGGTGCGTGGAGAGGTGCTTGGGGTGTCCTGGGCCGTCACCTGGAATAGGGGATTTCTACTGTACTGGTACTTTACTAGACTAGGTAGATACCAATACTAAATAAACAGCTACCAAAGTAGAAGTAGAATAGGGGCTCAAAAGTAAGAAAGATGAAGTGGAATTGGATGTGTCAATTTATTCATGATACCGATATTGCCACTGCAAAGGATTCACCTGCATGGCTACGAGTACTCCGTACTGCCCGTACTGCCCGCGAATGAGACGCCAAGTGAACTCGTACAACGCCACGCAACTCGCAGGGATTACAGCCACGTGACACAGACTCAGCCACAGACGCAAGACCAGTCCCACCCCTGCAGACCCGACATTGAACCCACTCGAGCCACTATGAAGTTGAGGTGGACCTTCAATTGATGCCTTGCCTACAAAGCTATCGCCTCAGGCACTCGTGTATTCCAAGATGGGTCTTTGACACCACCTGTCCATGTTGCCCGTTGCACTTTGAAACCATAAAACCTTTCACTTCATAAACCTCATCGCCCATTCACAATCGCACTGTATCGTACTTCATACCTCATACCGCTTCTAATCAGAGTTCATCTCACACGCTCCTTCGACTTTCCACTTTCCTACTCTTCCATTTTCTGCCAAAAAGATCCAACGACTCCCTTTCCATCCGTCGTACCGACCAAGATTTGACTCCAACTAGCCAAGTAACACGCGCTCAACGACCAAGACGACGATAGCGCCAGCGAGTGACTCTCGCATATCGACCGCACTCGGCATCAAAGGCAGGAACCTGAAGGGCATCGGAAACGCGCTCAACTCTCGAAATGGCAGTATCTTCAATTCAGGACCGAACCAACGAGTTCAGGTCCGTCCTCACACAAGTTCAGAAACGACAAGCTTCCTCCAAGATAGGATCGCAAAGACAGCCGCTCCTCACAGATGCACAAAAGGCCAATGGAGGAGTAGATGGGGATTCTAAGCCACACAGGTCGGAGTTTGCGAGGAGGGCAGCTGAGATTGGTCGCGGAATTGGGGGAACGATGGGGAAGTTAGAGAAGCTGGCGCAACGTTAGTAACCTGAAAGCTCCTTTATTTCTGTCCTAGAAAAACAGTATGGGTCGTAATATTCAACGTACTGACAAACGACTGCAGTCGCAAAACGAAAAACCCTTTTTGACGATCGACCGGTCGAGATCAACGAGTTGACCTTTATCATCAAACAAGACCTGTCCTCCCTAAACCAGCAAATTTCCTCTTTACAATCACTATCTAGAGCGCAACATCCTAAAGCAGATCAACTGGGGGAACACAACAAAAATGTGGTGTTTATGCTTCAGGGGAAGCTTACGGACGTATCGGTCAATTTCAAAGACGTTCTAGAGGTCCGGACCAAGAATATCCAAGCATCTCGATCGAGAACAGAAAATTTTGTCTCCTCCGTATCCGCAAACACCGCCCCCGCAATATCACAATCCGCATCTCCCTTGTACAGTACACCAAATCGCGGTTCACCCGGTCCGGGACAAGATCTCTTATCATTAAACCCGATGGGAGATCAACAATTATTAATGATGGAGGAAGCACAGCCGCAAAACCAGTATATCAACCAGAGAGGGGAGGCCATAGAGGCAATAGAAAGAACGATTAGCGAACTCGGTGGGATTTTCGGACAATTGGCATCCATGGTTTCGGAACAAAGTGAAATGATTCAACGAATCGATGCGAATACGGAAGACGTGGTGGATAACGTACAGGGTGCTCAGAGAGAGTTACTCAAGTACTGGTCACGGGTGTCTGGCAATCGCTGGTTGATTGCAAAGATGTTTGGTGTACTCATGATATTTTTCTTGTAAGCTTCCTCTCCCCTTACTTTTTGATTACACAAAGCACATTCACTAATTTTGATGAAATAGACTCTGGGTTCTGATAGCAGGATAGACCTGTTGAATAAGACTAGTTTTGGGGGTCTGTAATATTACTGTAGAAAGCCCTTTTTTTTCACCAAAGAATATAAGATTTTTAATTTTGATTAACTGATAGTAGCCATTGGAACTCTATTTTTCCCTTCCTACACTCTCCCCCCCCCTTTTCTAGAACTTGTAATAAGCGAGATATCACTTCTCCCCGCCAGCTCCATCTTTCTCTTACACGTTTGAGGAAGTATATTTTAATCCCTCAACATGTCTCACTGCTTTCTCTGAAAACATAGTTGGTTCGTATAAGGAGTAAAAATACTATCACTACTGGTCGAGACTTGACGGGTAAACTTTGTGTACTGTATCAACCTTATATAACGAAGAGTAGACTTTACATTGGAATTTAGAGCACAGTTTGTTAGTCGTTACGGGGTATCTACCGAAATATTACGAATCTGAAAGGTAATATATGCCATTCCAACAACTCTAGCTATTCCCTGCCTTCCCATCACCCTCTCACACCCCAGACAGCCTCCGACCCACTTGCTAGGACGTTATTACCATCCTATCATCAGCAAAGAAATTAAGGAGGCTCTAGGTAAGAACTGCTGTAAGAAATACAGAAATGTTTCCATGATTCTACTGTAGCGCCCTTGGAAATAAGCGATTTTCAATGTAGCATTGTTGAAGAGGTTTTGTTCTTAGCGAGGCTGCGAGAACAAGAAGGATCACAAGCGCGATAGCGATCGCGCTTTGTAAATTGTACTTCCCTCCCCCCTCTTTCTTTTGTTATGTTGTTTGTGTTTGTTGGGAAGAGATGGGTTGGTGATTGGGTGCAAGTGTCAAGTGATGCAAAGATAGCTGAGGAGAGGGGAAGGGGTTTGAATGAAGTGAAGCTAGACGGTAGTGAGGCGTGGGATGGTAAGGGTATAGGTGTTACTATGTAGTAGTTAGCACTTTGAATTTTGGGTTTGGGAAAGTTAGGGGACAGTGACACGATAAGTATTACTTGTTGTGACTGTGCCATGAGATGGTGACCTTACTCCCCAAAAACAGTTTGGTAGTTTTGAAAACTCGAAAAACAAATGGCCTTGTACAAGTACAGCACAGCACAGCCTCCAAGACAAACTTCTGATAACAAGTGTGACTCACTTCTTCTGGCATAAAGGAAATACTCAGCTCCCCCTCAGGGACGATTCATGACAGCAGTCGAAGAGCAAACACTCACTCAAGAGCACTCTCAACTGTCTTGACCCACGCACATCTAACCCCACAACTACGCGTGATCATCTTCACACGCCTCGCCAAAACAGATCTCCCCCTCTAGCCTACAAGAGCCTCTGGTCGCGAAGTATGCTCCTCTACGTTCTCAAATTAAGATGCTAGGACGAAGGTTGACCTAATCCGGATGATTCGGAGCTTGTAGTGGTTTTCCCAGACAAAATCTGCGCCCTTCCATAGTGGAGTCTGGGCGCGTGCTAGAAAGCCTTGCACGATGCTATACAAGACATCGAAGCACGGGCGGTCGGGTTGAGGAGAGTCTCTCTAGGTTGCGTAGGGAAGCATGTTATGGTTTTGAGAGTACGAGATTGGGCGAGAGCGTGGCTGATTTGGTTCTATTCGTGTTGATCAGTATTTCTAATGTCCTTCTGATAAAACTAGAGAGGGACATAGGATCTGCGTGTCATCAGGAGAGAATTCAAATTCTTGCATATACGGTAGGCCTTCAATCAGCGTCTGCACATGCGCCGCTGAGAGATATGGGATAATGTTTCGCCACAGATCATCGTACTCGATCCTCAAAGTGCGCAGGTTCTTGTGCTTGAGTATAGCTCAAAACAAATCCGCGTGTCCACGGTTCACAGCGTAGCTCATCAACGAGAGGTATGTTAATGTGTCGAAGGACGAGATGAAGCGATATTTGGATTCCAAGATGGCTTTTCTGCTTTCAATTGTGAGTCGTCCCCACCACCCGCCATTGACAGACCCAGGTTGCGCAAGCTAATACTCACTCCAACTTCTTGACATGCAGTGACCAGATCGGTCAAGTAAGGGATTAGAAGGCAGTCATCATCTTGGAATCTCATAATCTCGAGCTCGTTGAGTCGCATGAACTCGAAGAGACGGAGGACCTGGATGGAATTACTGTCCACCATTCCAGATACCGAAAGAAGTTATTTCAAGGCAGAGAACGTGCGAGTTGCATTCATGAAAGTCTCATCGTTTGCCAATTATTGCAAAGGGCTGTGGTAAAAGAGATCTATCTCCAAAACCAGGCTCTGAAGTGTGGACATGGAATTCTGGGTCATAGACTTGACCACACAGGAACGCGGAAAAAGATCCCCCTTGCGAACCCTCCCATCAATAGACAGGTAGGTGTTTTAAATTTTGGATCTTCTCCAAGGGTTTGATATCTTTGGGCTTCAATTTGCAACGATTCCAAACAAGGAGAGAGCTTTCAGATTCTTCAACGATGCGAGACTTTCTCCAATCGACCTGCAAATACCATTAGTAAAAGTGCGTGATTTTTATGTAAAAACTGCTTACTTTGTATGTACACTCATTTCCACGACTTGCAGATTATCCATATTCTTCATCCCCTCTTCGATATATGAATTCACAATACTCATACGACTCGTTGGCACAATATACAACTGACTGACGCACACAAGTAGCGCAATTCGGTTTCGCCTTCTGATCAACACTATCAGGATCCCTCTCTTCCAGTCCTCCATATATACCCTTTCTCTTCAATTGCCTTTCCTGCGCAATGCTCAGATGGGGCTCTAGGGTACGGATAAGCTTACACATTTGAGCACGAAACGCACTACCGCCAGTAATACGACCATACATTCGCGTTGCCATGAGTATATATATACATGGATTTACATGTTCGTCCCAATGCATGTATTGTTGAAATAATCGGTGATCTATTGTTGAAGTTAGCACGTTTCTATCGCACAGGAGGCTGTGTCGTAAGATTACATTGTCCAAAGTCAATTTTAGGATCTCGGGAGTCGGGTGGGAGAGACGAGAGCTGGTTTTGAGATGAATCTAATGGAGTCGGAGTCTGAGTCTGCACTGTCTTTCCTATGGTCGTAGATGAACCTTCTCCTTCTCCTCTGCCCACATTTTTGGCAGCTAAACGCATTTCAGGGCCTTTGAACTTTGCTTTGCTAGAATTGGTAGTAGCGATAGGCTGCTTGCTGCTCAATTGGTTCTTGAAGCGACAGATTTTGGAGCCGACTACTCTTCCTAGTTGCCATGGCGAAAATTTGGATTGTCTGAATGGTTTTGGTACCTCAGTAATGGTCATGGAGGGGTTGAGTTGGACTTTATAGGACTACAATCCCCCCACTCACGCGCTTACGAGTACAGTGTATGTAAACAGCAGATGACGTGCGTTGTCCCACACCTCTGCAACACCATAAGAACCATATCTAACCTACGTATATATATGTACACCCCACCATCAAGAACTTCCCACCAACACATCCAAACAACCTCGTAAGTAGATCAAAACGCTCGTTAGAAAACCGTCTCTTACTTCCGCAAAGAATCATCACCTATAATCCTTCCTCAGCTCTTAGACGTAGTACCGTAGTAAATCATCCTCAAGGTATCTAGATAGGGAGAGTAGTAGATATCCCATTAAGATAGCATATATACATCTCGATCATAGAGTCATCGATACCCACTTTGCGGATTAATTTCCGAACATAAGCGTAAATTTAAGCATAATTAAATCAAAAAGTCTAAATTCAAGTTATTAATATCGCGAGGAACGTCTAGAAATAAGAATATATATACTAAACTAATCGGAATCCATATCGACGTTGAAGTCTATCTCTTCGGTAGGTGCCCAGAAATAGCTGGAGCACTGTTGTCTATGGGTCTAACTCCCGTACAGTGGCTGCCCGAGAATTACCTGACGATTTGTGTTCTCTGTACTTGGTACTACTGTAGTACCTAGATTTATAGTACTTTTATAAGAGATATCCATTATAATTTATTTCACTATACTTGAGTAAGATTACCTTGGGAGAGATTGGGTCACAGCTCCTGGAACAAGTAACTTGATTGTGGCAGAGAGAATTATGAAAAGTCGGATTATCCTAAACCGTTCGCATGATACGTTCTAACTATGCTAGTCTTCTGGTATAATTAATTTTGTTTGCGCCACTTGAGTGCACGCAGCGCAATAGCCAAACCTCTTGCGTTCATGAAATCCTACTTCCAAGTCCAACGCTAAGTGCATACGTCCAAATGAAGATACATGTCTAACAGCTTCTACCTAGATTGTAAGCAAGGGACACCACTTGCAAATCCTTTCACAGCTGTGAACTCTCTGGTTGATCCAATCATTGCCTCTTACATTCTCCTTCATTACGCCGCAAAGCCCTTTCAGGCGATTCATGATCGTTTTTGGATATGGCGGGTATGCAACGCTTCAACCGCTGGTATGATCAAACTCTCAATCTCCATTTCGGGTTCCCCTTCCGGGAGGTCTTTTGGATCCAGAGGTTTCTCGTCAGTCTCGGCACCACTGGCAGCGACCCCTACCATATTTTCGATCCCACTAATTGTCTTTTTCCTCCTACTCCTAGGTACTCGAATCCACTGATCAGGTTGCCCCGGAGCCACAAAGACAATCTCCCATTTTCGAGTAGAGAGTAAATTTCCAATGACCAAATGATGCTGGTATCGATCCAAAGAATATTGCGCTTTATGAACTAAGATTTCGGGATCTGTCTCCAGCTTGAAAGATACTATCATGCCTTCTGGTGCCCAGCCATCAACTAGGTTCTTGAGAAACTTTGGCACAGGGTCCAGATCCACGATGAGGCGCTTGCTGCGCGGAATCGCAGGCGACGAATCAAAATTGTCAAATGCCTCTTCTTCATTGACCCCTTCTAACATTTTGTCTGCTAACAATTTCGTGTCCGTTGCATTTGTTGATTGTATCTTATGTTCAACCATGCGTTCGGGTGGGACGAAAAAATCCGATACAGCAGCGGCGAGGTAGAGTAGCCCACTAGGACCAAGTGGGCGCATCAATTGAGCTACTGCTCGTAGAACAAACAAATAATCGTTGATAGTTGTGAAGGGAATTGTGAGAAGCAGATTCTGTTTCTTGGCAGAGTTATACTGCCGGAGCACTTTCAACATTTTGTCGTGGTATTCATCATTTGCCACTATCCGCCCGTCCTCCCCCTCATGGAGAAAATCCAGAAAGCAATCAGTAGCATGACTGTAGTGTCGAGAGTAGGGCAGCAGGCTGAATTGACGATGTAGAAAAATCACAGCGTAACTAGACTCGAGGAAATATTCTGCAGACGTAGCTCCTCGTGTGCCCGCACTAAAATTGTCGATGAAACGGACCGTCTGTCGTTCAAGAGGAACCGTCGTTCCTCCAGATGTCACCAGCACCACTCGCCGCCGCGCGTCTGCATGGAATTTTATAAAATCTCGAGACAGAATCGTGTATTTCTCCAAACTCGAAGGGGCCGGGTTCTCGGAAAAATAGTCTCGTTCCGCGACATCGGCCGTGCTTTCTCGTGCCCGACCTAGATATGGGCTGGCGCTGGACATTGTTCTACTCGACGAGTCGGAAATGCGGGCGACTGGCCAGAGGGAGGGGCGAAGGAGGTGGTCTCGGGTGGTTTTCCTTGAGGTTGGGTTGGACGAAAGAGAGGAAGGTGATGCCGTATCCAGTAGGGGCCGGGAGGTGATGAGTGTCCGATTAGATGCGGGGAGATGGACGCTGCGCCGTGGCATCAGCCATGGTGATATTATGGTGATGCTGGAGAGTTTGGTCCAGGAAATTGATGTGCAGCCACTTACTGTTGTATTCGAGGCACACAATGACCTGCTCACGGTTGTCGTTGGTTGGGTTCATGTACACATATGAATCGTAGGTAGAAGTTTGGCACTGGCTATCGAGCAGATATGGTTGGTGTTGTACAGGTAGGGAGTAGGGCGTAGGGAGCGGGGGTGGGGTAAGTCACCAGGGGGTAGAGGGGGTGGAGGTGGTAGAAGACCTAGAAGACCAGGGGTAGAAAGAATGCCGATCGATACGACAGGCTGTGGGTGATGGCAGCGGCAACGGCAATGAGGTCAATTGAAGTGGTTAGGTGTTAGGTGAAGTGAGCCCTGAAGTTGATTCTCAATGTACTCGAGTACTTGAGTACTCTAGTACTAGTTAGGAGAATCAGGGGTTAGTGAGGGGTCGTATCTATACCTAGTAGGAGAGAGGCGGGCGCGGGGTAGAAGCTCAGGGGAGGCGGAGAGGGACGCTACTGGTAGAGCAACCACTAAGCAACGTGTGTACGGAGGGTACCTGGTAAGGCCGTTGCAGGCCATCGCAGCCTTGGAGATCAGGTTGGCACCACCTAGATTCTTCATCGCCCTCGCCTCTCATCGCCAGATGTACATCCTCAACACGGTACGTACCTAAATCAATTGGCTACGGGCGACCAATGCGACCAATGCGTCCAATGCGACCAACGCAAATCGATTGAAAAATAGAGCTGCCATTGCCCGGCTCCGCACGTCATCGTCAAACTTAAAAGTCCGGAAGAGTTGAGGTCGAGCTCATCTCTTCTATAAAGCTCTCTACGCCCTCCTGCACCGACCTACGGAATTATTGACTTGTCAATCTCAAGACCCAGCCCTCAATCCACCAAATCACATCACATCAAAGCCACGCCAGCATCAGCGAGCGCAACCCACTGCACATACTCACACCGCCTCGCATGTCTGGGTCTAGGAAGGCGTCATGAATCCCCAGGGAAGGTATCGGACGCAGTCGGGTCCACAAGAAGGGATTCCCAGAAAACCACTTCCCAGCGGATATGTTCCCTCAGATCCGCCATACATCATACTAGAAAGACAATCAAATCCTTGGGAGCAGCGCGGCGAGAACGGAAAAGTAGCAGCAGCAGCTCAGATGTGACGAGCAGCGGAGAGCAGCACAGTCTTCCGTGGCAGGACGACATCAACGACCGATCAAAGTGCTGGTGGGCGATGTGAAGGCGATGTGATGCGGCACAGTGGGTTAGATGGCAGCAAGACGAGTTGACCATCAGAAGGGATGAGACGCGTCGGGGTGTTGGGGGTGCTGGTTGCTTATAGAACTTGCCAGGCCCTGCTCGCGTTGGTTGGTCGGCTGATCTCGAGCCAGACGGTTCTACGGCGTCTCTTTAGAATTATCAGATATCTCAGATCTGAAAATCTCTTGATGTTACTGTACTGCTGCGCTGCGCGGCGAATAAACTAAACTACAGCTTCGACAGGCATCGCCCACAGCCACTTTGATCGTCTCGCGGCCCTTTCCGATGGCTCTTCGTTCCTTGATGACAAGACCTTGAAACTCTCCCTTCCTTTCCCCCTTTAGTTTCCTCTCGCGTTACACAAGAAATCTCAGCCACAGGCCTAGGCACCACTGACTAGAAGGCATTCCAAATCCCAGAATAATATGATCATGGTATCACCATGACCGCATCGGCGTCGGTTGACGTTGAACAACGGCAGAGGCATGTAGAGGCTAGGATTGGGAATTCAGGTTCAGCGTCGCTGGGATCAATTGGTCGGATTCGCTACAGAGGAGTCTATGGAGTAATAATCCAATCCAAACGAGCCTAGGCTTGCTGGTTAGGGAAAAGGAGCAGAAGAGGGTTCGCTAGCCAGCCAAAACATTGGGCGAATCCTTTGATTTTCCTCGCCCTACCAATCATTGTCCTTGCCCCTCCACCCCTTCAAGGGCCCTTCGTGCTTTCCCGCCCATGACCTCTCATTCTGCTGCAAGTGCAATCTGCGTGTAGCATGGGTGGTGGTACGTGGTCGGTAAAAATCAACCACTATCATGACCCTAAAGTAACACGTACTCATGGACATGAGGCTCCTTGTACCTCACGGGCTCTATTTCTTGTGGTCGTAATGTCCGCGCGTTAGAATCTAGCATCCGCGCTTCCTTCCCTCATTTTTTCTAGCGTTTTGGTGATTCAATTCTCATACCCAGTCCACTGGCATATCTCAAGATTCTGTCCCGGAAGTCAACTCCGGCGAATGAAATATCGAAATACAAATCTGGTAGAAGCAATCAGAACGCCGTCGACCTCACAATGGAGCCAGACAGGGCTACAGAATACAAGTGGATAGAATAGCACACAACTCAGAAGATCAATCTTATTTATGAGTTGAAACCGCGCGTCCGTTCGCCTGCCAGCCTTTCTCAACAACAAAGACATGGTAACGCCACCTGTTATTTTGCTATGCTCGCACTACATAATATCCCTCGGGTTTGATAGCCAGTGTGTGTAAGGCCTATCATTTCACCTGCGGTCCGTCAAGGGCTCCTCCCAGTCCTATGTGTTCGACTTGGACCTGTTCGCTACTATTCTCAACCGGCAGCGGTCAGCTCTATCTCCAACTTACTCACTTTTGACCCAACTTTCTATCGGTGGCTGCATCCGCCACCAACCAGCTTACGAGCTTACACATTTTTGACCCAATATTGGCAATTGCAATACTACCTGCACATTCTCCTCCGACGATTAGATGCCGAAACCAGGGAAATCGGATAGTCGTGCTAAGCGGCCACGGGAAGGGGACGGGGCCGAAGGTGATACTGGCCGCGAGAAAGGAGGTCCCCATTCCCTCACCATGAATATTCCTCCGCGGGCTTCGAGTAGTTTAACAACTTTAAGCTCCCGTTTCAGTAAGCCTCAACAACCCAGACCGCAATCTTCGTTACCAATTTCAACACAAACAAGCTCTGGACGGCTAGACCCCTCGCCTATGAGAACAACAGGTTCAGCACCCCCTGGAAAGGTGGCCATTCCTGCCCTGAGGACACCACAATATTCTGAGGCATCTTCATCTACTCTCAAGAAGTGTCGAACAGCTCACGCTTGTAACTATTGCCGGAGAACCAAGGCTGGGTGTACTGGGGAGAAGCCTTGCCAAAGATGTAAAAATGCCGGCGTGACATGTACTTATGGGGATGGCAAGCGGGAAGCTGAGAAGAAGTGAGTATATTGTACCTCCTTTTGGGAACTACAGGCTTATACTGAACAGGAAGCTGTCAAGATTGAGTCAACAAACCGGCGCCTTGACCAGGTACACCACAGAGGTATCCGACGCGCTACAACAGATACAACTTGAGTCCAAAGAACCGCAAATGACCAAGGAAGACATGCGGGCTGCAATTGATAGAGTCATTGCCATGGTATGTTCAATTCTGCATTGTTGTTTAAACGCTCTCTACTAATCAGTGAGCAAGACTCCCTCCTCGCATGCAACCGATCTAGAAGGCTATCAATCACCTTTAGGGACCTCCGAGCCAGTAGAACAGGTGCCGGATGAGCAAGAAACTGACGAAAAAGGATCCACAGGATCTCTTGATGCGGTGCACGTTGACACTGACCGCGACGATACACGCCCGACTGGACATATTGGGAAATCATCTTCAGTGTCGTGGGCTAAACGCACAGCTGAGGAAGTGCTTCACAGCGGCAGCCAAGAATCCTCAATTGCTCCTCAGGAATCGGACATTAATATTTCCTCGTACCATACCGAAGATCAGGATATTGAGCAGCTTGAGTTCAACCCCTTGACCTCATTTGAATTCTCACATGAATGGCCAGAACCACTGTTAGCGGAAGGACTAGTCCAATCATACTTCAAAGATGTGCACAATTCACTACCTATTCTGGACAAGCCGACTTTCCTTGGTGAATATCGCAACTTTAGACATAAATCAACAAGCACAGAGGAAGGGCATATTTGGCTGGGTACATTAAACCTTGTTTTCGCTATAAGCTCGTACCACGCAGATCTCAAACAAAGTAAGGAACAAAGGCACTACAACAGTCACCAAATATATCTCCAGCGTGCGAAGTTGCTTTGTATGAACGACAACCTACTTTATAAAGATGCGAGGATATCAACTGTCTGTGGATTAGGACTGCTGTGTTTATATTATACTGCTACGTGTAATCTCAATAGGTATGTAAGCAACTCTATAGTAACTATCCTATATTAACTTTAAATAAAGAGCTTGGACAATAGGCGGGTTAATGATTCGGCAGGCCCTGATTTTAGGGCTTCACGTTCGAAATGATGTCGATGACTTACCAGATATGGAAAAGGAATACCGAATTAGGCTCTGGTGGTCTCTGTACTCTCTAGAGTGTTTACTAAATGAGCTGACTGGACGTCCAAGCTGCATATCGGATACCGATATTAGCACGCCACTACCACTTAATATTAAGGATGGTGAAATGGGCCTGGGAAACCTCTATGAAAGGCGGAAAGATATAGTCATGTCAGGCCAATCAAGTTGCCGTGGCTCACGCAGCTCAAAAGGTGTGCTCTCCTATAAATATAGCAATTTTAGTGCTAATCAAAATTTTTGATGGCCGTACGACCACAGGTTCCCAGAGACAGTCAACGGCTAGGTTTCCCGTTGTTGCTCCTCCCCTCACGAATTCTTCCTACTTTATATACCGCACTCACCTATCGATAATTTCTCATGAAACCATCACCGAACTCTATTGCGCTACTACTACCAAGGTTAAATGGACCGAGGTTCAGAACACAATCAAGAAAATCCACCTCCGACTTAGCGATTGGGAATCCTCATTACCCGATGTCTTCGACTTCAATTTGAATATGTCTCTACCGCTGGATATCGACGATGAATACACGTTACAGAGAACCGGTCTGGCTATGATTCATTGTAGTTGTCTTATGATATTGTTCAGACCCTATCTTTGTCGATTCGACCTGCGTTTAAAACACACCCACGATGATAGGTCCTTTACTCAAGAAGCCGTGCAAACCTGTATTCACTCCGCTCGTAAAATTATTGCTCTTGTCAATTGGTCCGCGGACGGCGCCGGAGTCTACTCTGTCCCTCCGTGGTGGAATACGATACATTATATTTGCCAGGCACTAGCGATTTTAATCCTGGAAATAGCGTTTCGATCTCAGCATATGCCTGAAGAAGCTGAAGATATTCTCAAAGATGCCAAGATTGGAGTCAATTGGCTCTCAGAAATGTCCAGGTTCTCAATTTCAGCAAGAAAGGCCTGGCATATTTACGATAAGTTGATCAGAATTGGTGCTCCTGTGATCAACCAGACGGTCTTCGATATGCCGATGAATGCTCCCATACCGCCTGGATATCGTCTGCAGCCTCGCCAAAATGTCTACTCAGCCTTGGTTCTCCCGACGTCCCAACATGATGCAGAACAGGCCAATCCAAATCCACTCTCCCAAGCTAATCTTCAACAATATCAGAATACACAGGGACGAGCACCGAGTCCAAACCAAACAACAACAGCCTGGGCATCTGAATCCCAGCCCTACATGCATTTCGACCAGGGACGTGGACTTCAACAACCATATCCTTCGCAAGCTATGGGTAATCCACTAGACCACACCCAAGCACTCAATTTGTTTCAAAACATCAGTGGTGTACACGGTCATTATGATGATCTTTCGTGGGCGCAAATGTTCGAAACCTGGAATCCAGATCCCACCAACCCTTCAAATCAAAGTATGACTGCGGATCCGGGAATGACGGCATATGGTAGTTTATTCTCCAACGTTTCGCCTGCAGCGGGGTTTGCGCCAGATCCACAAAACTTTGGCATGCAGGGTCGAATGGATTTTCAGCAATACGGAGATATAGGCGGTACGACTACAGAAAGATCTGATGACACGACGATGCAGGGACAGACCCAGAAAGGATTCGATTACAACCTCGGTGGGCAGCACTACCAATATTAGGACCCTAGGAACTTGCATTGCCCATCGACTCTTACTCCAGGGAGAAGAGAGCGTGAACTCATGCGAAGCGAAATATTATTTTGTCTGAGAAATTTCTTATCTGGAGAGTTTGTTATAGATTCCCATGACGAGTTTAATTTGTGCTATTTCAAAGGTCAAACTAAATGGTGAGTGACTTTTTGACAAAGGTCATCTGTCTCATCTGGGTTGGTGGAAGCAAGTGTGTTTATTGTTTTTTTGCAACTGTCAGTAGCATATATATCTTACCCATCTGATATCTAGTATCAGTTTTAATCACTCCGTCTAATCATTTTTGAGGCACTCAATATCTCGTGGCGAATGTTTCTGACTTGACTTAGTAGCATGCATGCACTGGAGAGCTTTACCCTCTTCTGTTCAGTCTGTGTTGCTATTTGATTTGTTGGCACTTATGCCCTAACAATATTGCAGCGTCCGCCTACCTACGGAATAGAATTCCTGTCCTATGGCTTGTGTTCGCTCAGGCTTGGCGATATGTATGTTACAACGACCTCCGACCTCGTACTCTGCATTAGGGGTGTTGCGTAATTTGTGTGAGCTTAGATGTGCATAGAGAGAAGTTCTAGATCGAGGCATAGTTTACGAAAAGATGGAGTTTGGGTTGAGAGTTTTTTTGTTAGACCCGTTGGCCAATCTTTGTTTACAATACCTTACTCGGCGGGATTTAGGATGAATCCGGTTTCTTTCACTCTATTGTTCTGTGATAACATTGGCCGCTGGCTTCCTCTTTCTGGCCATCCAGCTTTTGAGAGAGGCAGGGGAGCTTTGCCTAGCTTGGTGTTTTGGAGGCGGGGATGAGTGGTTTGTGAGTCTGAGGTACGACTCGACGGAAGCGAGAGGTTCTTATCCTGTCGAAAAGATGTCGTATTACTATTATTATTTTCTTCTTTTTCTTTCAAAAACCAATAGTAATATATTTACCTAAACAGAGCTAGGATCATATATATATATATTGATTGCAAGTTGGCCAGAAGTTAGTTCTTACTATCTTGTTATTCCGAGGGATGTAAAGAATATCATTATATGCAAGAATTAACCAAGTTATCTCCTACACGATGTTTGACTAAAATATCGTTCATTCTCCAAGAACAAATCTTACGATTTTTGTCTACTCTATGATTTTATGATAAGTGCAGTATAAAGTAATCAATTATGTCTACGAGTACTTGGCAATCCACAGTAACATCTCGGCAGACCTACCTGGGGGAGAGATATTACCCGGGCTGTACGGAGCGTGTACTCAATTCCGTCCGCCTACCGACGCCTTCCATCGGCGATTTTGACCCCCACTAATCAACGACAGTGACTCCTTTGCACCAACTCGCTCTGACCAGCCTATTTATTTTCCAATTACATTGAATCCCGTATCACTCGCTGCTCACTAATTTATTGTCCGATTTCACAACATGACACACTCGCTCACCGACGATGAGTTGAAGGAGATCTACACCTTTGCGCTCGGGTTGAGTCGGAGGGCAGGGAAGATTTTATTGGATGGGATAGAAAAGAGGACTGGCGAGCAAGGGGGATGGGAAGCGGATGAGCAGGTGGAGAAGATGAATGCGGTTGATATTGTTACACAGACTGATTTGGGTTGGTGATTTTTCTGGCTATTTTAACTGAATTTGGCTTTCGGGTGTGGGGGCTAATAAGGGAGTTGGGTTTAGATGTCGAGGCTTTTGTGAAGGATGAGATAGTCAAGAGATATCCGAGTCATAAGTAAGTCGTTTTGTCAAGTGCTTAGGTTGCGTTTTTATATAAAAGTTCACGTGATCTCAAATACGAGTTCGAAAAGTGATTTCTTTAGCTAATCAAATGTCGAATTCTAGGTTTATCGGAGAAGAAACGTACTCCGCCGGTTCAAGCAAGGAATACCTGATCACCGATGAACCGACATGGTGTGTTGATCCCCTCGATGGAACGGTGAACTACACCCATCTATTCCCCATGTTCTGTGTGAGTATCGCATTTATACTCAATGGCAACCCTGTTGTGGGGGCTATATATCAACCAATCCTCGACACGACGTATAGTGCTTTAACTGGTAGTGGCGCTTGGTAAGTGATCTCTTTCTGTTCCTATTCGGTTTGTTCTGAACGAATACTAGGCAAAATGATAATCACCCAATGAAACCCCGTCAAGCACTTCCTTTCATCAATAGTCCTAAAGCTCCACTTCCGGCAAAAGCACCGAAAGGGTGCATTTTCAGCTGTGAATGGGGAAAGGATCGTCGTGATACAGAAGGGGGTAATATGTGGAAAAAGGTCAACTCCTTTGTCAACATGGCCGCGGAAATAGGAGGAAGAGGCGGAAAAGGTGGTATGGTACACGGAGTGAGATGTTTAGGAAGGTCCGTTCAAAACTCCGTCTCAGTTTCTTCCAAAAACGGGTGCTAATGGGTACCTAGTGCAACGCTCGACCTAGCTTATGTAGCTTCAGGAGCATTCGATATTTGGTGGGAAGGAGGATGTTGGGAATGGGATGTCGCAGCTGGTATCTGTATTTTGCGTGAAGCCGGTGGCTTGATCACGACAGCAAACCCGCCTGCAAATTGGGACACTGATCCGATACCCAATGTGAAGTTGGGAAGTCGGCTTTATTTGGCGATCCGACCTGCGGGTGATTCCCAGGGAGAGACGGGCCGGCAAGCACAGGAGAGAGTTGTGAGGGAAACTTGGAGAAGGGTAGAGGGGTTAGATTACTCGCGTCCCAGAGCTTAGATGAGACACAAACATACGTTTGCGTATTCAGACTTGGGAAAATATCCCGGAGACTTTCTCAATTGCATACAACGGAAGACATGTTTTCAAGTAAAGAGTACTTCACTTGAACTTCTGAGATTTCATCTGAGGTCAGAAAACCCAATATCCTGTTCAGCAAGGTCTCCTTAGGAACCTAAAAAGATGAGACATGAAAGGAGGGAACTGGCAAAAATTTCTTGCTTACTATAGACAGGCTCGACAGCGTTTCACTGACATTTGCTAGTGTGTAACCAGTGATTAATTGGTATTTCCGGTTTTTTGTAATACAAGAGTTTGGTAAATTCAATCTAGATCAACAAAGATCAAAATAAGCCTAGATCAGGCGATGTCTCTGCTCCGCTTCCCTCATGTCGCTAAATATGGTGGTAGAAGCGGTCAGACACGTTCACAGCAATTCATACTTTGCTATTCGGTCGGTTCTGATAAGGCATACCTTGGTAGTTGCGCTTTCATATCTGTGCTTTGTGACTAATACGTTATTGCTTACCGCTTGTGATTTGTATATTTCTGATGTTGGCTTACGTAATCTGTGTTTTTGACTATGCCTATAGGAAATCTCGCTTTTTCCAATAATCGAGAACTAGACTTTGGGAATAAGCTTCATTTTCTTCTTCTTGGGTTTCTAGTTGTTTTTTGGGGGGGGGTTTCTCCCCGGAAATTATGCTGAGAGTTAAGCGAGATCTTTTCTTTTCGGCTACCAAATTTTATACAAGTACTCCGTATACCCAGACAATTACGCACCCTCTCAAAGGAGTGATGTCTTTTATACTTAGAATGGGTGCATTTTTCTAGTTATCAGGTTACTTCGCTCTAACAAATATTTTCCGAAATATCTTTGGTAAAAAGGGATCCGCATGTCGATGCAAGTGACGAGAAATCTGGCTACGTAGTCATGATTAGCCTCGGTTCTACGAATAGCCATGAATCATATTTTCTAGATTTTTTCACCATGGCCGCTCCTCCCTTTACTAGCCCGATTCCCCAATTCTCAGCTCTCGTCTTTGGAGGACCACATCCTCAATCCAGAGGTGAAGCTTCCACCTATTTCACTCAAGATTAATACTCCAGAAAATGATCAATTCACTCAATCAGAAATGATTTCTTGTCTCCCGCTCTCCAGATTCACTATAGAAGAGCCTCATCCTCGTAATCACAAGATAACCGAAAATGGACCCTGATATCGTACGCTTGGCACACAGAATCAACTCGACCATTCACTTGTGCTATCGATGCCGTAAACAAAGACCAGATCCAGCTAACTTTTGTTAGCCAATTTAGTGGATCATTATGGTTCAAAGTCCATGCATCTAGAAAAGACGTTTTCCTATCTGACTTGCTCGCCTTTGGGAACGAGTCTTCCGACAGGTTTTCAGTCTTATGCAACAAGTTGTAGGTATAATTAAGAAGGTTTGAGGTGTTGTAGAAAGATGTGGGATGTGGATTTACTGGGTGAATCCGGTGACCGTTGATTTGCTTGCGGTACCTCGTGCCCGACTTATAGAGTGAATGCCAGGTGCGGGAGGCAGGCCGAGGCTATTCCCGCTGAGCAAATATTGTTGGATTTCCAATATCTGGAGCCAGCTCAATTGAGATATTGATAATTGAGAACTAGCAATTAAGCTCTCAAGGGTACATATGTGAGATAGACAGCGTCGTACCTGAGCAGCAAAATGCATGATAGCATGGAATATTGAGGCTACGCGGGTAGGCGATGCAGAATGAGACATAACCACCCTTAGGTGTTGGAAGAAGCTTACATAGAGGGGAATGACATGAAATTTACGAAGCTCCAATGCAATAGACATGTGAGGTTGTATGCGATAGTATCGTGTGCAGGGAGAAGTATGCGGTTCTAAACTTGCTGATGTCTTTTACTTGGCTACAGGAAAGGTTGATTAAATCCTCTAAGAATCCAAACTCAAGTCGCTACAAGAGGGAACTAACGCAGATCTATTTCAGTATATTACTTAGGATATGAAAATCGAAAAGCTAAAACCTCTTCATCTGAAAACCCGAGAAGTTCTCTCTCTTATAAACTTATCGCAACCTTCCGCGTCAAGCAGAACGATCTCTTGTAGCCATACAGGCAATTTCTTCGCGTATATCACACTCATGGGCTGGAGCCGTTATCAGCTCAAGCCACCTCGTACCTCTCGTATGGCTAGTCACGGTCGAGAGGTGTCATTAGCGAGCCTTTCATATTCAGAATCGCTCCAACAGAATCATTATCTTAATTTCTTGATCATTCCCATATGCTCCTGAATTTACTTCCTCCCCCCTAAAATACGTACATGAAACTCCCACTGTCACTTCGCTGCCTCAGGTCTATACTGTCACCTGGTCTTGCTCGCCGAATAGTGTATCCGCTATGCTTCCCCAACCACTCTCTATCCTCCTAAGTCGCTACCATCTCTTTTCCGTATGTTTGCCCTGTTGGTGTTAAGTGTAAGTAAACTGGTTACAAAATAAACAAGTACAGGGTGGTAAATCGATAAGAGAGAGTCAAATGTAGATAGCGGGTAAAAACTGTTTGCGAGTTTATAAGTAGTCCCGAGCTGGTTTGAAGGGTCCAAGTACATTGCCAAGCGAGCAAGTATACAGTTGGTAAGGATAGCATTTAATTTACAAGTAGCTAGCTTTTCTTACCGGTCTTCCTAAAGGATTTTACCAAATTGCTCTAAAGTACGGGGTCCATAAGCTGGACATTCGTGATATTTCTTTCAAAGCACGAGATACTCTATAAGAAGAAAAGTTAAACAGAACCAAATTCCCCTCTGGTTTCAGGATACCTTCGAGGGTGGTAAATAAGCATGTCGATTCGTGATCATTGGTCTAAGAAGTTCAGTTACAAGGTATTTAGGTAAGCAGAGCGAGTTTTAAAGGACTTACAAGTCCTGGACATGCTTCTGTTTTGGGAGAAAGCCTAATTTTAGTCATTAAGAGTACTCTACAGCATATGTTACATCTCCCTTCTTGAATGTCGGCGGCAACAGCAAAGGTTTTGTCTCATGAATTCAATGGGACGTCCCAGCGTCTCTATTGCACCCTTATCTCAAGAGCAAGTTCATCTTTCTGTATTGTCAAGACCAATCAACCTTATACCTAAATGATGTTAGGGAAGAATATTGTTTAGAATGTCCGCAAGAAGAGAAGTGTGACGGTTATGGTCACGAGGGCTGGATGTCACATGCTCGCTTAGCGAGGCGCTAGCGCGCACGACCTGTATTTAGTTCCCAGCTCTCTTGAGCTCTCCTTCTTTCCTCGTCTTTTGTCCTAAGAATAGAGTGTTAATTGTTCTGAGTTCTACCTGAAGCACGTCTGTCACAAGAAGGAGAGAGCTCCCCCGGTGGAAATAACTAAATCTCTATAGAACACCCCTATTCACCCAAGCGGGGATCATCACGTGCAAACCCATTCTCTGTAAAACTCGATACCAAATCCTCACAAAGGCGTAAGGGTCAACTAAACTATTAAGGAAAGCACGAGAACCTGTGAGCGCTCCTAATTTACAAGGTATAAAAATATACTACTATAACACGTTCACGTATTCTCCGGCTAGGCCCCTAGGAAAGAGAAAAGTATTTTATAGAACTAGATCTTATTAGCAATTAGAAAGATAGAAGATTAAATATAATGCAGTCTTTTTGCACGAAAAATATAGACCCAAGGAAGCATCGCCTACGTCTACCCTCGCTCTTTATAAGACTTGAAAAATAAAGTCTTTTAAGGTTTCAGGACATCTAAGATATGTTATAGTATAAAGAGGTATACTATTATATTAGGCAGTATTCAAATCAATATTAAAGGTAAGATAGAAGGCGAGGGAAAGAAGGGAAAAAACTTCAATCAAAATTTAATGTGCTCACACATATCATCTTCCTAGGCACTGTTAGTAAGAACAGAGTTCTGGAACCAGATGCTCTGCTACAGTTGTCGGCAGCGAAGGGAACATATATAATTGTTAGTTTATATAAGTTATATACTTTAACTAAGACTATATTAGAAAATATATTAAAAAGATAATTAAGTAGTTAATAACTAATAGAGATAGTTTAAAAGATTCTTTAACTATATAAGTAAATAATTATTTCTTAATAACTGTTGGTACGACCTGGTTGTCGTAAAGGGTGATACACAAACATAATCTCTCTTTGTATTCATTCGTGTATGAAGAGTAAAGGTAAAGAGAGGTGGTACCCTAAAAGCTTAAGTATATGAGTGGCAAGCCACTCACATGACCTAAAGCATATAGATCCACCAGGCTCTCGTACAAGGTGCTATTCACCAGAATTATATACCGACAATAACCTTTGCTTTTAACTTAATTAGTTCTATTAGTTTAATAAATAGTAATTTATGAAACATTGTTTATAAAGTATTTCGAGAAATAAAAACCATTAATCTGAAATATAAATTAGTTCTCTTATTTAGTTTAATACATAGTGATTTAAATTATATTTTTAGGAGAATAACTAAATAGCGAAAGAATAATTCACTTTATATTAAATTGGTTACTTTATTTAGTTTAATAAATAATAATTTAAAAAACATTTAAGTTATAATAAAATAAATAAGTAGCTAATGATAGTAGCTTTTATTCCAAACTAGTGTCACGAATCACGTGTTCACGTGATACCTGTCATAATAAGAGGCGCAACCCTCGACAGGCACATCCAGGTTTCTTATAGCAAATAGGGATCGTTTGGAGTAGGTAAGCGATCCAGGGATTTCTCTGTATTGTTATCACGTGATATTAGGAGTTCGCCAGTTAGCCGGGCGAACAGGCGAAGTTAGCCAGTTCGATTGTCGAACGAGCGAACATCGAGAGAACGAAGGGTCTATATAAGACTGGCACGTCTGCCATTAGATAGGAGCTTCGTGCTCAACTTAGTTATCAATCTTATCATATTAGTTTGACATCTTTGATACAAGTAACGAGTTCACTTCCAAGTGAACAACCCGATAGTCTTCTTCTTATCATAGCATACCAACCAGCGAACACCCAGCCAAGTTTAGTTAGCCAGTTTGAGTATTCGTTACAACTAGTTACTTTATTTCACTTGATTAATACTAAATTAGAAATTGTATTCAGTAAAGTAATTAAATAGCTAGATAGTAATAAAACTAATTTACTTATCTAGCTTAGAAATAAAGTGTTATCAACTCTAATTATTTAAGTAATAAAAATATCTAAAGAATCTAAAGGATTAGACACTTGTTTTGTTTTGTTAATTTCATATTTTATAAATAGTTAACTTATATATAGTACCGGGTGAACATATCCGCTTTTAGACAAATTCGAGTAAAACTACTTTCTCTTCTTGAAATTCACTAAAAACTACTCTCATGACCTACTCTTGTGACGCACTTCTATAAGCCACCTACTATTGTAATCTACCTCTTTAACCCCTCTTCCCCTATAATCTACTCTTCCTAATTGCTTTCAGAACAACCAAATTTACTTTCTATTAAAATGGAGACTAATACTATGACTTTATCAAATGGAGAAAGGGTTAGATTAACGGATTCTAATACCTACCTCCCAGAATGCATTGATCCATAGGAATCCATGAAAATGGCAAAGGAATTCTACAAAAAGAACATCTTTGATCTTCTTCTGATCAAAGATACACAGGGAAACCCTTTGAGATACGAACACAGTATCAAAAAAGGTATGGAGGGGGACGGGCGAAAGGCTTTGAGGCAGGCCTTGAGTAGCTATGTACCAGAGCCGCTGAAACTGCCTTTCTTGTTGGCGCAACGGGATCTGGAGCCTCTCGACTACAATACCATGATACCTGGTGTTGTACATTGCTTCGTGGACGATTTTGTGGGCAATAAACCCACATTGTTGGCTTTTGCCATATTTGTAACACCAGAGATGACGAAGGAAGCTGGTTTATGGGACGGACCAGGAGGTTTGGTGGAGCTCCAGGAGTTTTTCACAAGACGGGAGGAGGCCAAAAAGAGGGATATAAACAGGGTTTTCACCTTCGGCGCTTCTCCCCAGGTGGGACACCATACCATCAGAAGGTCTCCGGATAACAAGAAAGCAACACTTGAGACCCATGCAATGGCAAGCAAAGCAGCGTTGATGGGATTGGCCATGCTCGATAAATTCCTCCCAGAAGAGCACCGACGGCGCAAGATACTGGAAAGAAGATGGACAACGAATGCCAGTCTGACTATGGCAGATGAGAACAACTTTGAATTCGCAGTCATTCAAATCAACAGAAGCGAGATCTCTACAGGCTCCAACACGCTGTCTCAATCTCTACCTGAATTCGGCTCCCTTCATCATGATAGTAGCGACGAAAAGCTCGGATTTACAGTAATGTACTCTCTATCAAACTTCCCGGAAAGCTATTTTCCTGGACGATTCAACATAACGGCACCTAGGATCACAACAACACTTCCAGCGTTTTCTGTTCTTATCTTTAAGGGAGTGTTGTCACATTTCGCTACCGGTGAGGGCTTGTATCCAAACCCAAAGTCTCCAAGGTACGAGCTTGAAAAGGGTCTCCAGTATCCCAAATTATCCGACGACCATCATTTTATGCGCCTCAATATTTTTTGTTACCCCAAGGGCCAATTGCTGGATCTGAAACCCAAATTTGTGACTCCTCAATTCAGGGAAGATATCCAAAATGGTAAAGCTATCACAAGCGTCTTTCGTACGAAAAGGAATGCAAGAACATGGGAGATGAGGGTAGCCTTGCTGGAGGAATTCGTGAAGAGCAAAACCACAGACCATATTGATCCACTGGAGTGGTGCAAAAGATTTGCCTGGATCAACGAAAATGGTGTTGAGGAAATGCCTGAGTTGAAAATTGCTCAGAACTTCAAAGTTTGGGCGCCTGAAGATGCCATTTTCAGGGATGGTAAGGAGCCAGTCATCCAGAGTAAGGAATATAGAGACGTTGAAGCAGGAATATGGAGAAACCTATGCGGATTACGATTTCAGAGAGAAAAGAAAGAACGGGAAGAGGCGCAGGCAGAAGCGGACAGCCACAGAAAGGAAAATGGCGATAAGAAAAGGGTGAATGGTACTAATAAGGCAAAAATAGGCAACAGAGTAAATCCTGAAATCATCTGGACTCATAAAGCGCACAGGGAGCTTCTGGAAGCTCCATTCTCGCGCAGAGTTAAGAGAAAGAGATAAGTAGTGGCAAAATGAAGCCTGGTGCTTCTATGTTGAATCGACGAATTATTGGGATCTGTTGACCTATTAGACTATCAATAAGGGTAGCGAATTGATACAAAATACACTGACAAAAACATAGACATCGCGTTCTTTTTCAGTAAATCGTGGTACTTAATAGTATATTCTCAGTTTTTCATAACTCTTCACTGGTGCTTGAAATGTTAGGTTGTGTGCTCATCTTTGTAAGATACCACATTGCGATATAATATGCAGTAATTAACTAAGACAAACAGGCTATAGAGATTGCTAAAGAGTAACCTCAAATTTATTTGCTACTAACAACTTGATGACGTCCAACATCCCAAATGAGTATCATTGTTTTCTAACAGCGTCCAGATTCATAATTCACTTCTGGAGAACAAAGATCCAAGGCCAAAAGCCATTACCTTAATTAGAGAAACCAGTCCCTTGATTATTCTACCACTACTGACTCCTCTCTTTTGTTGCTTAAGCAAACTTCCCAGCTCACAGTCTTGCTGACGAAATTTGATTTCCTGTTTAACAATCAGAATCTGGATGAAGATAGAGGTGTTGAGAAGGAAGCTTACATTTTTTGTTTCAATCAAGCAGTTGAGATCCAATAGTGGGAGATTCGGATGGATATAGAAGAGAATAGTATAAGTGTAGCCTGCAATTGTTGATGGGAGGTCATTTAGAATGATATTGTAGTGATTCCTGGCAGTTGTTTGCTGCGGTTCATGCTGCGTGTAATTGCGGCGGTGCATATCCAACTTGTAAGGACTGGACATGATGATAAATGTGGGTTCAGAAATTGGAGGAAAGGTGGTATTGTTGAGAACTTCTGGGGTTAGGTTACGGGACTATATAATGTTAGTGGGGTTTCTTAGTGCTGGTATAAGTGTATAAATACCAGCAGTCTTGATGTAGAAATAAATATCGTACCCAGCAAGGGCGATATCTCAATCTGGTTAAGGTATTGGTCTGCTCGCTCGATAATCTTAGGTTTTCCCTATTTTCGAGTAACAATCCCTAGGTATTACAGTACTACCTCGTGTTCCTAACTCCGCATGTCATTACGTTGTGAGAATCAGAGTACTAAAACCTACTTAGTACTGGCTAGGTAAAATACTCGCTAAGCTCACGACTTACCCACATTTGAAGAAGCGTGAGTTATTGACGACATCGCCAAATTTTAAAGCAAAATGGGCTACTGTAAATTTAAACAAGCGACCGTGATTAGACTACGATGTCGATGTTGAAGTAAGAAGCAAGATAATTTGAACACTGGGCAAACCTCGTGAAGTTTCAAAGTCGAAAGGTCGCTATGGAGATAATCTATCTTCCAGCCTTCTGATTACTCCTAAGGATATTCAAATTCTCTCGAGTATAATTAGCTTTTGGAAGTATTCAGGAACAGATTATTGAGAAGATGGAAGCGAACGAAAAACGAACTTTCCTCCTTTTCTAGCCTAACTGAGAGCTAATAATTGCTCCTGTTTCAGGAACGACCGACAAAAACTAGTAGCATATTAGCCGAATTGTACGGTACGTCGATTCTGGACCAAGTAGTCTGAACCTTTGGTACTAAAGTCGCTCTGCCTGTGAGGCTCAGCTAATGTCGGAGATGGCTCCGTGTTACCTATAGAGAAACGATCAGGTGACTTTGCAAAAGGTAAGTCTGGCAACCCTGATATACATTCATTAGCTCATCAAGTTCTACGTCTGAATGGATGATAGTTCTTGTTTGGCAACCAGAGACCATTTACAACTCTCAGCTAAAGTTGATGGATCGGTGCCATTTTCTTTTGGACAAGGTTTGGTGAATGTTGGATCCCTGCGCCGATCGCGGGGTATGACGAATGAGATTTGAGATTTTTGTAACATTCTAACAGCACGTAATAGTTGGTTCAGGAATAAGTTCAGCTCGAAAGTCTGGAGAAGCGCTTTACAACTCATCTTCAGATACTTCATCAACCAAAGAACTGCCATCAAAACACTACAAAATGCGCGCATACTGGTACGACAACGAATCCGTAAGAAAATCCCGAATCAACCCCTCCTTGAGCTCCAACTAACCCACCAACAGGGCGACCAACGCGAACCCCACGACTCCGGTCGCGCCGTCGATGCCTCCTACCTTTCCAAACTCGGTGTTCTCTACTATAACTTCGCAGATGAGGCGGATGTCGACAAGCTAGCCAATCAACGAAGCTACAAGAACCGTGATGTCATTACCGTCTCTCCCGAGAAGATGGGCGATATCTACGAGGAGAAGGTCAAGAGTTTCTTCCACGAGCACTTGCATGAGGATGAGGAGATCCGATACATCAGAGATGGAGCGGGATTCTTCGATGTAAGAAGCGAGGGTGATGAATGGGTTCGCATATTTTTGGTGAAGGATGATTTGATTGTAAGACTTGCGCAATATGGGATCTGGATGGGTAGCTGACTATGGGATAGATTCTTCCCGCCGGTATCTACCACCGCTTCACAACTGATAGCAACAATGTAAGTTGTGGGGACTCGCAGATAGTGTCTGGAAACTAATGCTGTGCAGTATATTCAAGCTATGAGGTTGTTCAAGGAGGAGCCCAAGTGGACACCACTCAACCGCGGCCCTGAAATTGATGTCAATCCATATCGGAAGGAGTACTTGCAGACTCGAACTGCAGTCACGAGCCAATAGATTTTCATGGTAATTCTGGGAACTATTTACGAAGTTATGATGTCAGCGGAGGGATCGATGGAGATTCAGGCTGTGTACTTGTATGATAGCTTAATCGCAGGGTGATTAACACAATTACTCTTGCCTTACCTTCGAGCCAGTACCTGGTGTACTTCGCTGCGTCGTTGGAGCTGCGTAATCGCAAGTTTTCGAACAGTCACTCATGGTGCTCATACTCGAAGCCCCATTTCTTCCCTATAATCCATTCCAAAAGCGCTATAGACCAAAAACGAGGTTATCGCTGATCCAACAAGGTTTCTCTTACGCAAAAGTGTACTACAATCGGCGGGTATTTAGTTAATGGGGAAGTAAATCTCCCACTAGTTCTCCTCAACCTCCACGCTACGACCAGGAAAGTTCCACGGGGCAAAGTGGTTGGCTCAAAATACGTGTTGGTTCTCGTGCGGCTGTGTCTGTAAGACGCGTAATCGGCTTCCGCCCCAGAAGTACACTGTGACGACACGTACGATGTGTTGCTCAAGGAGCGTCCAAGGTGTAGGTTATGGAATCGTAGAACTGTCTATTCGAAGATTCTAAGCTGAGGAGAAGAGGAGAGCTCGAGAGAGCTTGAGTCTAAATACAACGTGGTTCGCTAAGGAAGCCACGTGATATAAATGGCACGTGACGGTCAGAACCGTCACATAGTCCCTTCGCAAAAGTAGAAAGAAAGTTTTATGTACATTGAGACCTTTTTGTACAGCTTTGTAGATTTTTATAGCTTGTTTTTATATTTCTACTATTATATAGCGTTCTAGGATTTTTCTCAGCTTTATGCTTCGATCATTTGGCCTTAGGGTTAGGGTTGAATAGTATAAAAGTGGCTGACTTACCTAGGACTATGCCGATCGAAAAGCGCCACAAAGTGCCACCATTTGCATAAAACCCTTGTTTCTTTTGCGAAGGGATTGTAGGTACCTAGGGAGGCAGAAACGCTGACCTGTTCTACATTCATCTTCTATTGCGCATTCTCTTTTCCCCAAAAAAGAATCAGGAACTAAAACACATTCATGAACATGGAGCCCGATGTTTTCTCTTACAGGCCGCTTCGTGATGATCGACCACAATTCCGCGATGATGCACAGAAATTTCGGCTCCTCCGCCTACCTTTGGATGGAAAGCAATATGGTGATATCCATTGCGAGCTCGTTGAAGATTTCTTGGATGCCGGTAAATCGATGCCTTACATTGCAGTATCCTACCGCTGGGAGACTGGGGAAAAAACAAGTTTTATTTGGATCAGGCATAACGGGGAGGACTTCGAATGCAAAGTCCCAGTCACTAGCAGCGTCTTCTCAATGATCGAAGCCCTTCGCGGAGGCGACCACCGCGAACTGTGGGACGACACTGGGCTCTTCTGGATCGACACGCTTTGTATCAACCAAAATGACGATAAGGAGAAATCACATCAAGTCAATCACATGAAAGAAGTATACACCAATGCGAGCAAAGTCATTGTCTGGCTTGGAAAAGCAACAGCGAAGTCTGACTTCGTGATGGACGCACTGACGGCTTTTCAACGAAGAATGCCGAATCCCAATGTACCACCCGATGATCCAAACTGGGATCTTGCGTGGTATCAAGTAACCTCGTCTTCATTGTATCGGTCCAAAACTACAGATTTACGCTACAGCCTCCTTGAGGTACTTTCTCACAGTTGGTTCAGAAGGGTTTGGATTCTTCAGGAAATCGGGAACGCTCGTTCTGCGTATGTCCTATACGGCAAGAAATCAATATCCACAAAGTATTTTGTCATGGGTACTATGTTGGCGGGAGCTAATCCCGGGCGTCGTTGCCAGGCGGTTCTCAACCTCATGCCTAGTCCAGCAAGGAAAGAAGTCGACAGTGCCGACCTATACAGTCTCCTTAAGGAATTCAGTTCTACGGAAGCAACCGAGCCAATAGACCGCATTTTTGCTTTGCTTGGATTTTATTCGCAGGAGACAGGAAATGGACCTCTCTTCCCGGACTACAGCAAACCTATCAGTGATAGTATCCGCGAAGTAATTTCACATATCTGCTTCTGCGACAGAATCCATGTGCCTGAATGACTGTGCAGATCTATAGACAATTTGTTTTCCGCCTTGAAGAATCTCGATATTGAAATTCTTGGGCATCTGGCGGAGCACGCGGATGATGCTTCTATCGTAAAATTTCTAGACAAACGAACAAAGTATACTGAACAGGTATGTGATATCTTCCTGATTTTTTGATATAGTGTCGATCTTATATAATAGAGATTTAAGAACTAATGTTATGTTCTATCAACAGCATGAGAAATTTGTGATCAAGGAAAAGACTCTGATCAGCATTGCAAAACACACACGGCTTGGGAGAGACTTGATGCAGATCCTGGTACCACTCTGCGATGAAAATACTCCAATGACAAAAGATGTGATTCTCGCATTGGCCTAGATTCATGTAGCAGGACTGGATATACTCAAACTTATTGCTCCAAAATCCCGGAAATGGCTACATATACAAGGTGAGATAGCGATGAAATTGTGGGCTACTAAACAAGGACAGGAGATTATCACCTTGCTTTATAGGAGGTTTCGAGTTCATTTGCAATTCCAGGACGAATCCAGCATGGATCAAATCAAACAGGATTTAGACAAGCGTGGAGTTCTTATGGCAATTCTAGCACAGAGACTTGGTTTTAACATTAAGCTGGAAGATTACGAATCTGTCTTGGAAAGTGCAGTCAGTTCTGGTCATATTTTTATCATCAGCAATTACCATTACTCAGAAATACAAAACGGCTATGAAAGACCACCCCCCAGAGCTTTTGTTGACTACTACAACGGGAACGCCTTAAGTTTTGAACGGGCAATTCTGGACAGAGATATAGCCTCAGTAACCACGCTGACGAATGTTAACAACCACACGCCCCTCGATTCTAAGAACGATATTGAACGACTGTCTTCATTGCGCGCCGTTGTCGCTGGAGACATTGACGCCCTATCCCAACTTGTTGAAAGTGGGGCTGATCTGGAATATCAGAATGAATGGGGAGAATCATTGCTTGCCCTTGCATCCAGAGGAGGACATACAAAAGTGGTAGAATACCTAATTAAGAAAGGTGCTCTACTGGAATCACGGTTCACTGCTGGGTGGACCCCATTACATCTGGCTGCAGGGCAAGGACATGTCGACATTGTGCGCGTGTTACTAGCACATGGAACTAGTTCACCATACAGATCACCCAACGGGTGGTCTCCTTTACATCTGGCGACATGGCAGGGACACATTAATATTGTGAGCATTTTGTTAGAACATGGTGCCAATCCTATAGTGTGAGAGGCCAGACCTCGAATAGCTCAAAGGTGTGGTTTCGAATATTCAATTAAGAAGTGCGTGAAGACTACATACATACAAGCTCTTTCTCTATATATAGAGAGAGGAAGAGCTTCTAGAATATTCCAAGAAACTGCTTAACAAATACATGATGTCAAGAGAATAGAACAGAAAAGTATAGAATAGAAGAGACTTGCTTGGCAGTGGTGTTTTGGCCAGTGCTGAGCAGGGACTTTGGTCAGTGCTTAGCGAGGGCATAGCCCGAGCCTCCATCATGGGTTCCAACCCTCACATATAGGTACTATTTCCATTGATGGTGGAAAGTGGTTGCCAATGAATACAGCTGTATGGAGAGGATATTTTAATATTGCACTTATTTTGAAGGAACCCACGCGCTTAGAGGAACGTAGGTTAAAGGAGAAACGCAGGCAGAGTTTTTGGTGAACCCACGTTTTCAAAGAAACGCACGCGCTAAAGCAAATCCTCAGAGCTGTAGCGATCTTGTCTCTTGGCGATGAAAAAAAGGTTGCAATCGTTTTTGTTTTCTTGTTTCTTTCATCAAGTGTATAGATGTAATCAGGTTCTAGATCTGTTGTCTTATGAGGTTTTGGATGGGTTTTCTTGACATTCTCTTCGCTTCACAGCTTTATATTACAGTTTACAATCAAAAAACAGATCAATGGGCTTCTTCCTTCTCCAAACATCAGAGAGTGTACAGCTTTTCAGTCATTCCAGGTTCAGCTAGAAAGAAAACCTAAGAAGATACCTGAGAATTCCTGGATGAGACGACTAGGGAGACCAACACTCACTCAAAAACAGTAGAGCTCCAAATGAACTTCTCATATTGTTATCCTGTGGCATAAGAGATTCTACTTATGTTAATTAGTAGGCAGGCATATGTACCTAAGTATTAACATGATCACGCTATAGATACTAGAGGAAAACCCCCTTTTGAAATCCGTAGTAATACTATTATAAGTTACAATTAGTTAAATATTGTAACTAGTTGGTTATTAAGATGGTTGTCTTGATTAACCGTAGTACGCTAGGTAATCCCTAAAACTAGCGCAAAGGGCACAACCAGCTTAATATACAACTGTTGTCTTAGCCTAGCTAGTTATAAGACGTAGCCGTTGTAGGAGGTAGGACGGTTGCTCAACAGTTGTAAACTAATACAACTTACCTATTATAGCGCTTACAACTATTAACTTTTCACAACCGTTATAAATAGTACAACAGTTGAAAAAGATAGCAATCGTAAAGCTTACAACGGTTGTACTTAATAATCCCTATACTTTACAACCATAGTAGTAATCTTACGGCATGGCATGGAGCGTAAAATCATAATAGTTGCAAAGTGCACCCGTATTACAACTATATTACTACCGTTTTATATATGGGGGTCCTCTAAGGTACTCTAGAAGACCAATATTCCAACAAAAATTCTGACCATGTCCTTTCCAAGGACACAACAAGCAACAGCACCAAAATACCGAGTACACGCATTACAAACCCGCTCTTATAACCAAAACAATACTCGCCGACAGAAAGAACAACTTTTCTATAGCGAGATAAGCCAATAAAAGATCTTGGAATCATTCCCATCAATCAGAGGGTGACAAGCCGTACTGTAGGTAGGTACCTCTAGTTTAATGTATCGAATTTCATAAGCACCTGGGCAGTCAATCGAACCTCTTCGCTACCACTGGTACCACTGGTACCACCTTACTTGCACCTGCACCTGCACGCTTTGCGACATTTCTGAGTTAACCTGTGTTCGACGATGACATCCTGGAAAGTTTAAAAGACTTTCTGGGGAGGAAAGGGCAAAAGAGGGCGGGGGGGCTTATACTCGGAGCTAATAGTAGCGCGGAGGGTCTCTAGTTTAGTTTTCTATTAAGAGGGAAGGAACAATAGGTTCCAACATTCTGATGAGATGTCGGACATCTTATAGGCGGGAAGGAGCGACCCTCTCTCCCTCTCTCCCTCTCTCCCTCTCTCCCACTCCGCCATCAAAAGCTAATAACCCCCCAAGGTCGGGTCCTCTGAAAGGTTATGGGCTATCCAAATGCCTCCTGTCAAGCTTAAGTGTTCATTTTGCAAAATTTTCACTTTTCCCAACAACCAGAGGTACAATGATGAGAGCATCACTGAGGTTGATGACAAGATTTATTATATATTACTATGAGAAATCGGTGTTTACCAAGGTGCAGTCACTCGTGATAAGTCTCAAATTTCAAGCTTGCGAAAACGATTTAACGCTAGCAAAACATGCAACTTTCATTTGTGTACCTACCTGTTCGGTGCGTTATTCTTGAGCTTCCATAAGCACTAACAACCCAAGATCAGGATACCTCCTACCCTTCTCAATTTAGACTTTACTCTCGCCAAGCTTGGCCAATCAGCTGGACATGGCGGTCGAAGCTTCGAAGGCACGGGCCCAACCTTAACTTTCGTCTCCCGCTAGGTTCTCCGTAGCGAGAAAACGGGAAGCGACGACCCTGAGTTCAGACCTCAAAGTCAATCTCGACATTCATTCTGGTTGGGGGTTTGGCAGGAGCTAGGTACCTATATATTTACTCTTTGGTAACCATACTCATCGATCGAGTAGGTATAGCATGATAACAACTCCATATGCGTCTAAAGCAAACTTCACAAGGTTTCGTCAAGCTGATCAGAACCCGAAGATTGCAGGCGAAGCTCAAGTAGGCCGGGCATAAATAATAGGAATACAGTAAAAAAACTAGGTACCTAGCCAATAACTAACAATGGAATACTGTAACTAACAATGGAACACTTTAGTTTCCATTGATCATTATTTCTCTGAGCTACCTCAAAGTGAGAGACAGCGATTAGCTAGAGAGCCTGGTTCCAGTATTTGAAGCTGCAGATCTCAACAAACCATGTCTCATCCAAAATTCGATTTTGAGAAGAAGAGATAGTAGGTGTATAAAAGAACAATTCGCAGAGTGCAGCTTGACATGTACTTTACATGGCAGAGACTCGTGGCTTGTTTCTGGCTCATCGCAGCAAGGTCAAGAGGAAAGGAAAGAGTGACTTCGATTGCCTACTCTCAATCAGTCCTACATAAGGTACCTGAACAAACGATCCGTACCTATATCTACTGTGGCCCTTCACGAAATCTTAATATTCAATTTTGCGTATAGAAAGGTCCGACACTCTTTGTACGCATGAGGTCACCAAATGAAATCTCATTACCTCAGGTGATAACTCTATGGTAGAAATAAAGAAGATGCACGAAGTCAGTAATCTCTCATCATAAGACCACACCAAAGAGTATGGCACAACGACCTCATTACATAAAATCAACATCATTCCTCTCATGATATCATAAACCAAGCCCAGAAAAGTGATCGTCAGAAAGCTGCCAGCAAACTTGCGTATTGAGAATTACACACCGCACACAGCACACAGCACATGAGAAGATGGGGTAGGGGAGAGCAAGCAGCCGACGAACCTTGCGAGCCGAACCTAGTTCCTCACCGCTGCTCGTGGGAACAGCTGGCTGTGATACTAAAATAAATTGATTTTTAGTTGAGCAAGGTACCATGTCATTATTCTCATGTCGAAATCTCCGGTTGGAGTTCTGGAACAATATTTCGTCCTAATTTCTCTGAAACGTCCAGGGTCCCAAGTCTTCTTTTGTTTTGGCTGAACGAGGAGTATCCAGTTGGAAAGAAGCCGTAGGTAGGTATTCTTTGACCAACCATATTAACCAACATGGTGTCCGTGAAACAGAGTGGCACTTTGCTCCCCTTCCATTCGACGGATTGAGAATTCATTACATGAGTGAAGAGGGATATATTCCTCAGGTGTTGATGCCCCATCTGGTCTTTACGTTTAGAATTGCGTCTTACTGGAAGAGACGACACGTTGATGTCGGACCTATCGTGGAGTAGTCACGACAGCAGAAGCAGAAGGACAAAGGGCCGAAGGTGATTCACTATCCCCGATGGGCGTCTTCCCCGGTTCTCAAAGTTGCTCAATCTGGGGAACAGACGTTGCATATTGCGGGGAAATGTTCACATTGGTCTCGGACGGTGGCCTGGGTTTGTGGCGCATATGATCGAAATCCGATCCTGCGTTCGTAGATCTACCGAGGCGACCACCGCATGACCTGGTTTGTCGGTGCATGTGTATATTGACTACTTACTTCAAAGTATTACTTACCTATGGGTGAATGGTCATGGTGTTGCGGGGCACTCTGGGCACTCTGGGGTAGGAAGGATCTAGACGTTTGTAAGAGGAAGGTGAGGAGCCTTGAAGCTGGCCTCCAGTGTGGTGAATCTCCGAGATGAGATGAAAGGATGAGGGTCTGCAGAAACGATGTGCTTTTTTATACTCGAGTAGGCAAAAAGACTAGCACATGGTTGGCGGGTCTATTCATCCAAAAATTCGGGACGAGATAGACATTGCGGGGGTCGTGCAATAGATTGGATGAAATCCCTATTCTCATCTGGTGGGAGAGAATCTTTACAGGCACACGCACTCACGCGCCAAAATGCTCCGTTGGGTGAAGTGCAGGTGTTGCGCCACTGAGGCTTGGGCCTGATTAGATTGCCGGGGCTTGCTAGAGCGGGAGAGGGGCTCGGGAAGCCAACCAGAGCGCAGATCAGGGGTTCATCGGGAGTTCATCAGGGGTTCATCGCTTCGACCTGTCCGTTTCAACAAACTGGGCAGCACTCTGTTCCAACGTCACTCACTTGTCCTTTGGAATCTGCATATTCCGGCATCGACCTCTCTAACATTCATTTTTCCGCTATTACACCATCCCAGTGCATAGCATTCTCACATCCAGACCACGGATTGTACTCCAACAACATCCACAGGTGCTCCGGAAAAAAAGTAAACAACCATTAAAATGAGTGTGTCACCTCGTGCACAGTATAAAGTACAAGAAAATACTTACTAGCGGCAGTGGCTCCTTCCTTTCCCCCTCGCGAGGAGCTTCTTTTGGGATCGCACTCGCACCTGCTGCCACAAATAGGTACCTGTACATAGGTGCATGGCTCTAGACTCCAGGACGCGAAGCATTGATGTTCCCCCTGAACACGGTACAGCAAACTCTTCATCACAGCCCTCAATAGTGAGCCATCATACGCCAGCACCTACCTGCCAGCACCCTTCCACCTTCGGACGCAACACCTATTCCGATTGAGTGGTTCTGGTGATTCGGTCCATTTCTCTCTCTGTAGCCGCCGCATGACAGTACGGCACCCAGAAGCTATCCACATTCCTTCACTCGGCCATGTCTTCTGCTGGAAATGACCCCCCCGTCTACCAGCAATTCCATCATGAGCCTGAATTTGCTTGCTCGGAGCCACTTGGCTCGCCTTCGTGGAAACACAGGGTCACAGCTTCTGTCAGTCATGGCCTATTGGGACGAGAAAGGACTCCGATGAGTGAGGAAAAGCAAGAAAGTCGTGGGCAACATGGTGTTATAAGAGAGGGGGTCACCCCCAAGGTAAACAGAAATACAACCGCAGACTCCTGCCGCCATTGTCTTCTTGTGAATAGTTATTGTCGTCATCAAAGTTCAATACCATTGTTGGTGAGTCTTACCTTGCATTGTTGAATTGTTTTTGCGTTTCCCGCTTCCCGCCTCTTATTGTCTTTGATTGTCGCGCCTGCCTTCCTCGGTGAATGCAGTCGCTTAGCTCATTCACCTCAATGGCTGGATCACAATAGTATTATTCACTATATAATTGTTCGGTCACCCTTGTTCCGCCTCATCTAATTAAACTCTACACTTCAACATCCTTCTTCAACATTCTTCTTCTTCTTCTTCTTCCAAAGCATCATTCCCAGCCTTCGTCGTTGATCATTCCACATTGGAGTACTGCTCTGGAAGCAATCCGAAGTTTCTTCTTCATAACCTGGTCTACGAATCAGCTAGCATCGGTCTCTTTACTTCTCAGACGAATATCGACTGACACTATTACATATAGCCGTCACACTCCTTCAAAACAACTTACAGCAGGCGGTACTACTTTACAATGGCCGTTTTCTCTCTCATATCACTTCTTGTGACCTTGCGTCTATTCCTACTTGTATCTGGTATCCCGGCACCGGCACCTGTACCCGCAGCAGGAGATGCAGCGGCCACATCATACTGGCTCTCCTCTATCCAGAGACGAGGGACTGTAGCTTATGGTGATGCTAGCTTCCAAATCTTCCGCAATGTCAAGGACTTTGGTGCCAAGGGCGACGGTATGTAATTCTTCTTTTCGATCAAGATGAAATCCTCCCAAAGACCCACTTCTAACAATAACACAGGATCTACCGATGATAGTGAGGCCATTAAAGCCGCCATCAATCTAGGCAATCGATGTGGCCAGGGCTGTGATTCCTCCACGGTAACCCCAGCTTTGGTTTACTTCCCACCTGGCACCTACGTTGTCAGCAAGCCTATTATCCAACTTTATTACACCCAACTAGTTGGAGACATCACTGATCGTCCAACCATCAAAGGCAGTGCCAATTTTTCGGGCATTGCTTTGATTGACTCGGACCCTTATGACAACACTGGTAACAACTGGTTCACTAATACCAATAATTTCTTCCGCCAAATTCGCAATTTCAAGATCGACACTACTGCCATGCCTCTCGCTGCAGGAACTGGTATTCATTGGCAAGTTGCTCAGGCAACAAGTTTGCAAAATATCGAGTTCAACATGAGAACCGACGGTGGGGCTGAAAACAAGCAACAGGGTATCTTTATGGATAATGGCTCTGGTGGTTTCATGACCGATTTGACCTTCAATGGTGGACATTATGGTGCATTCTTGGGCAACCAGCAATTCACTACCCGCAACCTGGTATTCAATAACTGCCAAACTGCTATTTTCATGAACTGGAACTGGGTAAGATGACCTCACTCGCTCTTTAAATTACCTCGGCTAATGTCAAATTAGGCTTGGACGTTGACTGGAATTACGATCAACAACTGCGGAGTGGGAATTGACATGGGTGATGGATACCCCCAAGTAAGAACGGGCTCAGTTGTTGTTGCCGACAGCAGCTTTTCCAACACACCTGTTGGTATTTCTGCTGCATATACGCCAAATCAACCCGGTGGTACCAACGACACTCTCGTAATTGACAATGTTGACTTCTCATCCAATGTTCCTATTGCCGTTCTCAATGCACCCAACAAGGCCACGCTTCTTCCCGGCAACCAAAAAGTCGGCTTATGGAGACAAGGAAACGAGTACACCGCCCCAAATTCCCATCAATCTGTTCAAGGCGGCTCCAATGCTCCAGCTAAACCTGCTGGTCTTCTCGGGCCCAATGGTCGTGTCTTCTCGCGTTCCAAACCACAGTATGAAACGGTCCCCGTCTCTTCTTTCAAAAGTGTCAAGGCCGCTGGTGCTAGGGGAGATGGCGTTACAGATGATACTCAAGCCATTCAGAACATTTTCAACTCCGTGGGTCCCAACGACATCGTCTACTTTGACCACGGTGCTTATGTTGTCACCGACACGATTCAAGTTCCTGCAAACATCAAGATTACCGGTGAAATCTGGCCTCTTATCATGGCCGGTGGAAATGCCTTCAAGGACCAGGCAAATCCAAAACCAGTTTTCCGAGTCGGAAATCCCGGCGAATCTGGCAACGTCGAAATGTCTGATCTGGTATTTGAGACCATTGGTCCACAACCCGGTGCAATCATGATGGAATGGAATTTGAAGGGAGCCAGTCAAGGCTCTGCTGGCATGTGGGATGTCCATTTCCGAATTGGAGGATCTGCCGGAACTCAATTGCAATCCAACGCATGCACCAAGAACGAGAATGTCATCGCACCAGCCAACCCTTCTTGCATGGGGGCCTTCCTTCTTCTCCATGTCACCAATCAAGGAGGTATTTACTTGGAAAACAACTGGTTCTGGGTTGCCGATCACGAGCTTGATCTAGCTGACCACAACAAGATCAATATCTTCAACGGTCGTGGTGTTTTGATTGAATCTGATCAAGGACCAGTTTGGATGTATGGTACCAGTTCCGAACATAGTGTCTTGTACAACTACCAAATTGCAAACGCAGCAAACGTTTACATGGCATTAATTCAGACTGAAACACCATATTTCCAGAGCAACCCCGATGCCACCACACCATTCCGCGTGAACCCAGCCTTCTCTGATCCATCATTCTCTGGTAGCGCCTCGACCAACAAGGCCTGGGGTCTTCGTATTGTGGATTCGAAAGATATCTGGATTCATGGTGCTGGTCTTTACTCTTTCTTCGTAAGTTTGCTATTTTATTCCTCTTGAGTCAGATACTAATTCTCTCGTAGGAAAACTGGAACGTGGACTGCAACACTTTCAACAATTGTCAAGACAACATGGTCTCAATTGAAAACTCCAGCGGAATCCACCTGTATGCTCTTTCCACAAAGGCAGCAAGAAACATGGTGACTGTCAACGGACAAAGTGCAGCTTTGGACAGCGACAACCGTAACAACTTCTGTGCTACAGTGGCTTTGTTCCGACTGTAGCCATGTGGGTGAACAGAATAACAGCAGCTCTTGAAATTTTTGATTCTTGAGATACCCCATACAGTTTTACAGGAAGACGTGTTTTCTTCTTCTGATTTTCATGTACATAGCTCGCTTCATTCCTTTGGGGATCCCTCTTTTCCCCTCTTTTGGTCGTTTTTTAATGGATGGTTTTGATGCAATCATGGACTGGTGCCTGGTCTTTGAGGATTAGTGCACTAGGTGGATGATGGGTGGATGGATGATTTGAGTACATATGAAAAATCAATCAGGGGTAAATGCAGTTGTCAATATGGAATTGGATGGGTGATGGGATCTGGGGATGAGAGATTCTAGATGATTCTAGATTATTCATGCATGCATTTTCAGATGTTACTGTCTCAGTTTTATGCGTGATTCTAAAAGGGGGCAGGCATTTCTGGAAGAAAGATGAAGATGAATAAGAATAGATGTATAAGATGGAGCTTGGCTTATTAATTAATTAAAAGGTGGAAATTATATTACTTTAGTGAAGTATTTAGACACTTATAGACTACTTTCTCTAGTAGTCGTGAATCTAGTAGTATTATAAAAGGGCTTTCTGTATTCTAAGTCTATTTCTTTCTAGCCGTAGCTATTATAAAAGTATAATAGTCAGTGCGTCTTTCTACTGCTCTTATGTCCTTCGTGCAGGCGAGGATTCGGGTTACGGCCACCGAGGCCGCACAGCCACCTCTAGCCACACCGAGAGCCGCATGAGTACCTGGGTACTTGAGCCTCACCTGCACCATCTGTCACGAATCACGTGTTTACGTGACGAATGAAGACCAGGCGGCGCCCTGACAGGTCGAGCACTATCCCAGTAGTTATAGCAAATAGGGATGCTTAGACTAGCTAAGCGATCCAAGGATTTCCTTTGGTTACAGTCACGTGATATATGTCGCTAGACGGGGCGACTGGTCTACCAGTCTAGCAGCGACCGAGCGACGAGTCTAGCAAGCTAGCACAAGAGAACGAAGGTTCTATATAANTCAACTTAGTTATCAATCTTATCATATTAGTTTGACATCTTTGATACAAGTAACGAGTTCACTTCCAAGTGAACAACCCGATAATCTTCTTCTTATCATAGCATACCAACCAGCGAACACCCAGCCAAGTTTAGTTAGCCAGTTTGAGTATTCGTTACAATTATCCCTTCAGATAAGTAAACTTTAAATATTATATCTTATTATCTTTTTTAGGATCTTTAAATAGTTTAGTATATTCTTTCTATACTTTACCCTTAAAGCTATTTTCGCTAATTTTACTAGCTCTCTTAAAAATTTAAAGCTTATTAAAGAGCGAACTAATCTCTCCTTCTATCTAGGTAGCCGGGGTAGTATAAGGAGTATCTAGCTTCTAATTAGTAGGTAGGGTATAAGTAGTACTAGAGGTAGATAGATTTAGTTAAGTTATAGCTCGCTTAGGTATATTAAGCTAGAAAAAGTAGTAGAAGTAGTAGAAAAAGTAATAGAATAAGTAGTAGAAAAAGTAGTAAAAGTAGTGGTAAAAGTAGTAGAAAAAGTAGTATAATAAAAGTAGTAGAATCGATAATTAATTATAGGTAGTAATACCGATAACTTATATTTATATATAGAATAGTAGTTATTATAAGAATAATACTACTATTTCAAGATTAAATTAATTCTAAATACTATATATAATTATTCTTAATTAAAACTCTATTCGATTCGAATATATTATAAGTAGTAGTATTATTATATTTAAGTACTAGCTATATAGTATAGTATAGTATAATACTACTATTTTAGAGCCTAATACCTACAATTACCCCCTTAAGTACCGAGTATAATAATAAAGCTTAATTCGAGCTAAATAAGATTCGAATCGAATATATTATCGAGTATATACTCGATAAGCGAATAGAGTTTTCGTGAGTTTTATCTATTTTAGGGTACGCTACCGAATAGAGTAGAGTCCACTAATCTGAGCCAAACACACCCTAAGAAAATACATAAACTCTACGAACTTACACCCTAGTGAAGAGAAAGATACAAGATATATCCTACTGGATCATTGATTTGAGCTTACTTTTAGCTTTAGACGAAGGGTCACTTTAGTGCTGACTATAATGGGATTGTCAGAATGGATGTCTAGAAAGATTGTTGGGAATACTAGAATTGTTGGAATGCTGGCATTCGGGTTTTCAGCGGTGCAGGTCACGTTTTCCTATGTCACGTTTTTCCCCACGCATCTGATACGTGTTTCGTATCAGACACCCACACTCTTTTACCCATCGTCCGAAGCAATTGTAGATAGGAGGAGGACACAGAATACAATCGAGAATCAGCGCGCTTACTTTGTGTCACACTTTGAGAGAGAGAGAGAGAGAACAAACCTGTACAGTCGTATCAACACTGATCAGTGGTTGAAAGACCACGGAACAGCTAGGTATCAACTTTACCAGAAGAGACAGAAACGGCGAGATCGGAGACTCACGAATCCTTTTTCGTACGACTGTGCTAGAGAGTATTATTTCACACTGTGAAGTAATATTCAAGGAATATTCAGCTGTCGTCTTCCCTACCGAGCCCTAGAGGGACGACAATTGGAGGTTCTGCGTCTATCACGGCCACTTGAGACGTACGGGAGAATTGGACTGAAAGCAGGAAGAGATCTACCGCCAAAAGCGTTATCGTACGAACACGACCAAGAGCTTCGTACACAGCCAGAAATGGCGAAATTACCAGGACAACAGGAGGACAGGAGATACCCATTGTTAGAAGAGCAATGGGGAAGGAACTTTGACCCAGAGAATCCCGAGAATCACACAGAAGAGAAAGTCAACACGCATATCTTATTACTACTCGAGAACGAGAAGTACGAAAAGCTTCAGGACAAAGAACTCTGGACTGAGTTTCGGGAACACTTTGAAGATTGGACTCTGGAACTCTTCAAGATCGGGAGCAGGAAAGCACTCCAGGAGCTTCGTACGACCCTTACAGAGAACGGAGTATGGGTTAAACCAGTAGACGGACTTTCCTACGCAGCAGTACTCAACGGGGTCCTTCAAGAAGAGAACCAACATGAATGGACTGATGCGGAAATCCAAACTCATCTTAAACAGAGAAACGCAATCTTCAATTCAGAGAAGAACCCTGTGAATCAATCAAGAGCTGCCCCAGGAAATCGTACAAGGGACAACACCAGAGAATTGGAACCAAGAGAACAAGAAATCCAAGAAAATTCAGACAGGATCCAAGGAACGCAAAACCGAACTCTATTACAAGACGATCAAGATCAAAGGCAACACACGGAAAACCAAACTCCAAATGCCAGGAACCCAGCATTTCAGACGATGTTTCAAGAGGATGTCGGACGAGGATATACCCCTATACCTCATGACTCGCGAGACAATACTCCTTTTCCAGAAACGAGACCTTACTCGCGATTCAATGCACCTGAACATCCAATATTGCGAAGGGAACAGAACAGCTTTGGACAAAGAGACACCGAGGCCAGGACTCGCACAGAAGATCCAAGATACGAGGGGAATCGTACAGAGAATCCGAGGTACGAGAGAATTCGGACGAACTCAAACAAATTCCTGATTGACTTGATGAAGATCTATTCACATGATAGTAAAAAGTACGGAGGGGAGTTGTACGATATTTTGGATATCAAACTCCAAGTATTTTACGACTGCTGCACAAAGGTTGGATTGCACGAGGCAGAGTACCACAAGGCATTTTCAATTATGCTCAAAGGAAGAGCAAATGATTTTTACTACGACAAGATATCAGGACGGTCGTACGATTTTCCTACGATGATCACGATGACAAAAGCACATTTTGAGACAGAAGAGA